CACTCTTCCCGAGAAGGCTCAGTCTGAAGTCCCCGGCGGCAGGAAGAGAAGGGTGCTCCCGGCCGCCGCCATCTTCCCCAACGGAACTTCCCAAAGATCGCGAGATTAGCCGTGATCCTGCGAGAGAGAGGAAGAGGGAGGGACGCCGAACCATCGCGAAAAAGGATTAATGGTGTGCTTCTCGCGAGATTTTTCCAACCGAGCCTTCCCTTAGCTGTCGGTTGTTTAGACTTTCTGCAGCTAGGTATGGTGCTTGGCAGGTGGTGGGTAGCCCACCCAGCTGCTGACCCATCTCATAGATACCATGCATATTGTTGGGATAAATTGATAGGGTTGCCAGATAAAATACGGAACACAGTTAAATTTGAACTTCAAGAAGTAAACAAATATTTTTTTGGTATAAAAGTATGTTCCAAATAGTATATAATATAAGCCTAGCAACCTTAAAGTTGATGGAGTACAGAGAGCATTTATCCAAGTGAGAATTCTTCTTTTATATATATATTGATTTCAGAGAGGAAGGGAGAGAGAGAAAGAAAAAGATAGAAACATCAATGATGACAAAGAATCATCGATTAGCTGCCTCCTGCACAACCCCCACTGGGGATAGAGCCCGCAACCTGGGCATGTGTCTTGACCAGAATCAAACCCGGGACCCTTCAGTCCACAGTCTGACGCTCTATCCACTGGGCCACACCAGCTAGGGCCCAAGTGAGAATTCTTGTTTTGTTGGTTTTTGGTTGTTGTTGTTTTGAGAGTGCATTTATTAAAGTTGGGGACAGTGAATCATGGAAGGGCTTAGGATAAAAGAAGCAACTGGAGAGAGCCTAGATGGGGCTGCTTTGGCTCACTGGGAAGTCAAAGAAAAGCAGGCCTTGGAGACAGGGTCAGGGGGGTTAGCCCAGAAGAGCTGCCACTGCCCATTGCTCCTTTGGCTGCAAGTCTCCTGGGGACCCTGAGATGGAGAGAAAAGGGATGGGTGTGCTTCTGGGAGGGAGAGTGCTGAGAGTTCATATTTTAAATGCTAATTCCTTTTCTGTTGTCAAAGTGTTCTTCATTCAACAAGCATCTATGGAGTCCTAGTACTTGTGTATGTTAATATAATATAAACATGAAAACACAGCCTCAGCCTTTGATGGGCTTATCTGATTTAGAGTTCTGAAAATACAATTGGTCACAATAATCATAGGTACTCAAAATTTTTTGTTAATTTATTATGCCAAAAGTATCAATGTTAGATACACAGCTTCTTCATGGAACCTCCCTGTACATATAAACAATAATGCCTGTACTAAATATAGGTAGAAAATTTAAACCTTACAAAGCTTGAAAATAGAGTAAACTTTAGCAAATTTTGGTCACAGAATAGAATGTTACAATTTCTCGTCTAAAAATAAAAATGAAATGACATTGTTAGAAATTTGTACTCAAAAAGATAGGAGAGACATGTCATTAAACAAGAAAAACATAGGAAGAATCATCCTATATGGCAAGAAGGGGACAATGGGCAAATTTTAAATGACTAGGCTTTGAGTGTGACTTCAGAGGACTCTTTAAACCTAAAATCTAAACTAACAAATTGGTTTGTGGTGGATAGGAAATTATTATAAATTTAGTTAATTCTTTCTTTTTTTTTCTTTAATCCTCACCAGAAGATATTTTTCCATTGATTTTTAAAGAGAGTGGAAGGGAGAGGAGAGACACAGAGAGAGAAACATCAATGTGAGAAAGACACATCCATTGGTTGCCTCCTGCACATACCCAACTAGGGCCAGGGATTGTGCCTGCAACCCAGGTGCGTGCCCTTGAACAGAATTGAACCAGGACCTTTCAGTCTGCAGGTCAATGCTCTATCTACTGAGCCAAACCGGCTAGGGCAAATATTTCTTTTGTGTACAGACTTATTGAGATATAATTGATAAAGAGCAGCTTTCTCAGTTGCTTTGGGGATTTACAGGGAAAATATAGTAATTACCTGACTGCATCTCGAGGTTCATAGAATTGCCCTGGCTCCCTGCCCTGGGAAGAGATGCAAATAAACTAAATCATGCAGTCTTAGAATTTCTGAGTTTAAAGTTTTTTTTTGTTTTTTTGTTGTTGTTTTTTTGAGAGAGAGAGAGGGAGAGAGAGAGAGAGAGAGAGGATGGGAGAGGGAGAAAGAGAAACATTGATGTGAGAGTTGAATATCCATCAGCTGCCTCCTGCCCGCCCCTACTGGGGATCAAGCCACAAGAACGTTTGTGCCCTGACCAGAAATTGAACCCACAACTTTTTGCTGCATAGGACAATGCTCAAGCAACTGAGCTATACTGGCTCCAGTGAGTTTAAGCTTTTCTGTACAGTGAAGCAACCTTCATTTTACAAAATCACTGTTCATACCAGTTGTTAGGCCAAACCATGCAGTTTACAGAAGATTTTGCATTTTATTTTTTAAATATATTTTTATTGATTCCAGAGAGGAAGGTGAGAGGGAGAGAGATAGAAACATCAATGATGAGAGAGAATCATTGATCTGCTGTCTCCTGCATGCCCCCTGCTGGGGATCGAGTCCACAACCAGGGCATGTGACTTTGACCAGAATCAAACCCAGGACCCTTCAGTCTGCAGGCGGATGCTCTATCCACTGAGCTAAATAATTTGATATTTTCTAGAATAGATTTTTTCCAGCTTTATTGAGATATAATTTATATTAGAGTTGAATTTTATCTACCAAACCCCAAAAGTGTAGTGCAATAGAAAGAGTGCTGGCCTAGGATTAAAGAAGGTCAGGGTTCAATCCTGTGGGGGCACGTGCCAGGGATGCAGGTATGATCCCCGGAGGGGGAGGGGGATGCCAGAGGCAGCCAATCAATGATTCCCTCTCATCATTGATGTTTCTATCTCTCTCTTCATCTCCCTTCCTCTCTAAAATCAATAAAAATATATTTTTTAAAATCTCAGATAAATTTGCTGGGGGGGGGGGAGAATGAATAAGCTTGGAAAAGTCATAACTTTCCTGTGCCTTAGTTTCCTATCGTACACAACCCTATTTCAGAGGTTTGTTGTGAAAATGGAATGAATGAGTTAATGTGTGCAAAGGAGTTTCAAAAAGTAAATAATGAGAGGCAGTGTAATATACTAGTTTTTCTTGTGCATAAATATTATGCTTTTCTCATTTATAATTATAATCTGTGTGAAGATAAAAGGCTAAATAACTCCAGAAGAGCCATAGATGATCCCAAGAGGTGATGAGCTTTCAGGTTCTTAGGTTTTCAGTAGACTGGAAAGAAGGCCATACAATGAAAGAGTTTATGCTTTAGTGTCAGACATGAATGTGTATCTCATCCTTAGCATTTTCTAGACTAGCTTTGTTACCCTAAGTTATTTAAACTTTTCTGAGTCTGAGTTTCCTTATCTGTAAAATAGGGATAAGGATATCGTGTTTTGCAGGGTAGTATGAGAATTAGAGATAACGTATGTATTATACGCTGTATAAGTTATATGCTTAGGAACTTGGGTTGAAATGTCCCCACCTTTGCCCTGTTGCCAATATTTTCTTTTTTTAAAATATATTTTTATTGATTTCAGAGAGGAAGAGAGAGGAGGGAAGGAAACATCAATGATGAGAATCATTTTTTGGCTGCCTTCTGCACACTCCCTACTGGGATCAAGCCTGCAACCCGGGTATGTGCCCTTGACCAAAATCGAAACCTGGACCCTTCACTCCACAGGCTGATGCTCTATTCACTGAGCCTAACTGGCTAGGGCACTGTTCCTAATATTTTTATCCTCTTATCAAACTCAAGAAGTTTGCTACTTGAAGTGCTCTATTCAAGAACGAGAGATGGTTGTCCCAAGGTAGTTTGATTTACTTGCAGCAAATAAAGGAGATAGGGGATTCATATTCCAAGTTTTTGCCTCCGCGGAAGGAGGCTTAACCATTGCATATATTCACTATTTTGTCAATTACACTGTTGATTTCTTCTTTGCCTGGCTGATTGAGTTCCTGTCAAGCTCACCCTGTTTATAGCTGGTTTGCAAAATACTGTGCTACATTTTCTTTAATTTTATTTTCTGGGCTACATTTTAAAAAATGTTTTTATTTTAACATAATTAATTCAGTCTTTTCTTTTTTTTGTTAATCTTTGCGAGAGGATATTTTATCCATTGATTTTTAGAGAGAGTGAAAGAGAGAGGGAGAGACAGAGAAACATCCATGTGAGAGAGACACCTGGATTGATTGCCTCCTGCATGAGCCGCGACTAGGGGCCTGGCCAGGAAGGAGCCTGGAACCAAGGTACATACCCTTGACCAGAATCGAACCCAGGACCCTTTGGTCCTCAGACCGAGGCTCTATCCACTGAGCCAAACTGGCTAGGGCTCTGGGCTACGTTTTAACAGCAAAAATAGCATTGCCCTAGCCAGTTTGGCTCAGTGGATAGAGCATCAGCCTGCAGACTGAAGGGTCCTCCGTTTGATTCCAGTCAAGGGCACAAGCCAGGATTGTGGACTCCATCCCCAGTGCGGGGGGTGTGTGTGTGTGTGTGTGTGTGTGTGTGTGTGTGTGCGCGCGCGCCGGAGGCAGCCCATCACTGATTCTCTCTCATCATTGATGTTTCTCTCTCTCTCTCCCTTCCTCTCTGAAATAAAAACAAAATAACAACTAAGAATAGCATTTAGTAAAAACCACCCAGACCTTGAGGCCCGTGTCCTACCTAATGCGCTGTAGTTGAAAATATTAGGTGCGCGGGTGCCTGAGGTACCTGAGAGTTTTTGTTCAAACAATTATCAATAAAGTTTTGAATAAAAAAAATTCTCCTACCTCCGTTTGCATAAAGCTTAGATCAAATGGGGAAACGAAGAGCTTATCGCGAGAATATGGAAGATCGCGTTTTGTGCTTGGGGCCTGTTCTCGCGTTGTTTGATCAAGCAGTAGAAAGAAGTAAAGGGATAGCACGAAATACCGCGAGCTTAGTATTCTCGCGATATTTCCTGGGCTTGCCCCCTCCCCCTCCTCCGAGTGCCGTTTCGGTTTAACCTAGTGTGGGATTGAGTCTGTGAGGGAGCGATTGAGTGTGTGAGGTACTGAGGTGAGGCGGAGGCAAGAAAAGGAACTCCCTCAGGAGCGAGGGACAAAGGGTGTATGAGGCACCTAGGCCGCGGGACCTGAGCGACAGGAAGCCACCCCGAGTCGGGCTACCCGGTAGGCGAAAGGCCCGTGCGGTCTTCATTGGGCTCCCGAGCCGGAGTCGGCCCCGCAGCCCTGGGCCGTCGGCTTCCTACTTCCTCGACCTCGCTGGCCACCGTGCCTGAGGATTGGCGCCGCGTAGGGGAGGAGGGCGAACAGACTTGAGCGGCTGCTCGTTGTCTCGCAACCCCACTGCTGAGGAACTCTCGTTTCTTCCCTGGCTCCTTCACCCCTACCTCATGTAGGAGGGTGCCGAGGAGTCGGGAGGGAGGAGGGGCCTGCGCCACGGTCCCTTCCCTCCCCACCCCCTACTAGGGGTGCTGTGGTAGGCGTGGGGTTGGGATTGGGGGGAGGGTGGGGGTCACTTTTTGGAGTGCTGGGGAACTTTTCCCCCTGTTGAAGCCAGGGGAAAGGGGATGCCCAATCCAGAGAGACATGGGGGCAAGAAGGACGGGAGCGGAGGAGCTTCTGGAACTTTGCAGCCGTCATCGGGAGGTGGCAGCTCCAACAGCAGAGAGCGTCACCGCTTGGCGGCGAAGCACAAGCGGCACAAGTCCAAGCACTCCAAAGACATGGGTTTGGTGACCCCCGAAGCAGCACCTTTGGGGACAGTTATCAAACCTTTGGTGGAGTATGATGACATCAGCTCTGATTCAGATACCTTCTCTGACGACATGGCCTTCAAATTAGATAGGAGGGAGAATGATGAACGTCGTGGAACTGATCGGAGTGACCGCTTGCACAGACATCGTCACCACCAGCACAGACGTTCCCGGGACTTACTAAAAAGTAAACAGACAGAAAAAGAAAAAAAACAGGAAGTTTCCAGTAAGTCGGGATCAATGAAGGACCGGATATCAGGAAGTTCAAAGCGTTCAAATGAGGAGAATGATGACTATGGGAAGGCACAGATCTCAAAAAGCAGCAGCAACAAGGAATCCAGGTCATCCAAACTCCACAAGGAGAAGACTCGGAAAGAACGTGAATTGAAGTCTGGGCACAAAGACCGGAGTAAAAGTCATCGGAAAAGGGAAACACCCAAAAGTTACAAGACAGTGGACAGCCCCAAACGGAGATCCAGGAGTCCCCACAGGAAATGGTCTGACAGCCCCAAGCAAGATGATAGCCCCTCAGGAGCTTCTTATGGCCAAGATTATGACCTTAGTCCCCCAAGATCTCACACCTCCAGCAATTATGACTCCTACAAGAAGAGTCCTGGAAGCACCTCAAGAAGGCAGTCTATTAGTCCACCTTACAAGGAGCCTTCCGCCTACCAGTCCAGCACCCGGTCACCCAGTCCCTACAGTAGACGACAGAGATCTGTGAGTCCCTATAGCCGGAGACGTTCCTCAAGCTATGAAAGGAGTGGCTCTTACAGTGGGAGATCACCCAGTCCCTACGGTCGAAGGCGATCCAGCAGCCCTTTCACCAGCAAACGGTCTCTGAGTCGGAGTCCGCTCTCCAGGTGAGCTATTTGTCTAACAGTCCTTTCTTAGGGTGGGTTATGAGAAACTGGCAATTAGTAATGTTATGTTGATGTTCCCATTATTCATTGACTAGAACACTTTACTATTGGCTAGTCATTCAAGTGAGTGAATCTGGTCTCCTCTTAAGCCAGAATTTGAAAAGTGGAGAGTTACATGCCTAAGACTGCTAAAGGTAGGTACGTCCAGTGGCAGGGTCTTCAGCTGTAACCTCCTGTGTAAGAAAAATTATGCATGGAGTTGATACTGGTTTCCAAAGGTTATCTAGTTTTTTCTGTTCCTTTGTTTCAAATTTTTTAAAAATCACATTGGTATTAGTGCTTGAGACCTCATTGAACCTGATTAGAGATGTAAGAAATTACAGATTTTCATTTGAATTGTCTTGAAGCTATTTGCCTAGCCCTAGTGAATTACCCATTTGGGTACTAGGCTTTGGGCTTTAGAGTTTGGCCTCAGTGGGAGACTCCTGCCTCCAGCCTCTGGCCTCCCCCACTCCCAGTCCAGCCCCTCTCCTGTTCCCATGGTGATGTAAGACAACAAATTAGAGCAAGTTGCTTTTCAACTGCAACCCCTGCAGAGCTGCCACTGCCCTCTGGAGAAGGCCGATACCCCCTAGGCCCTAGGCCTAGGGCCTAGGTCATCTACCATTTGTTCTGCCCACTGTCTTCAAACTTGTTAAATTTACTTATTTCCTAGTAGACAATGTTTTGGTAACTTACAAAAGGCTCCTGTCTTTTCACAGATATTTCTAGTGGAAATTCAGCTGATTCGTGCTTTTTCCTTTTGATGGTAGAGCCTATTTTCCAGAAATTGATTCCAATGATAATTTGATTTTCTTTATAGCACCACCATTGACCTATTAAGATTTGCTGTATTCTGTGACCACTGGCAATTTTAAAAATGTTTCTGAAAAAATGGTCATAGTGCTTTACTGTGTTATTTTTGCAAGAAAGACGTTAGTTTGAAATTTAATTGTTAGAGTGTTCTTGTTCGTAGATGATGAAATTGTACCTCTCTCTTTGTGGACTCACCTTTGTCCACAAAAGCAGAACATGGGCTTTGGAGTTATACCTGAGTGGAGTCCTAATCTTGCTATGTGTCCTTTGGCAAATAATGTCTCCATGCCCAAGTTTTTTCATGTGTAAAATGGGAATAATAACTACCAACTTCTAGAGCTGTTGTGAGGATTAAATTAGTAAATATGAAGTGCATAGTACAGTGCCTGGAACCTGAAGCCAGTCAGTAAATTCTATGAGTAAGGAAAATGTTGTTGAATACTTCTAGAGAAATTACTCTAACTTGAAAAAACCCATGCATATCTTTTATATGTCAATGTGAGTAATTTTTGTCAACTTACATTTATAATTATTCATAAAATCGTTTGAATTGATCAAGCCTGCGGAGTTCCTAGTTGTCAGGGTCCGAAGTTCCTTAGTTTTTCACTCCATTTCATAATAACTTTTCAAAAACAGAAAGATTAAAGAATTGTAGTAAGGACCCATACATGTACCACCTACATTCTACAATTAATATTTGCTATATATTTTATATCTGTCCATCGATTCACCTTTTGTTTTGATTTAAAGTAAATTGCTGACATCAGTATACTTCACTATAAACTCTTTATTTAGCCTGTGTATCATTAGCTAGAGGTCATCAGCTAATGAGGAGTAAAATTTATATACAGGGAAGTGGATATCTTAAGTGTACCATTTGAAAGTTTAGTTTTTTAAGGAACACTAAGAAATGAAATATTTTCAAAGTTTTTTCTTTTGTTTAAGTGAAAGAGTTTATTAGTGAAGCAGTACACAGAAAGTGGCTATTCCACAGACAGTAGCCAAATACTTGTTTTCTTGAGGGAGTAGTTTAATAAAGCTTTTCTGAGAATTTTTATTGTGGGGTTTGGGAATACAGAAGTGCATTAGGGCTAAAACACTAAAATGAGTTTCAGTAAGAACTGTGGCTTTGCAGTGATTCCTTTTGGATTCATATCTTGTTTTCTTCTACTCAGTTAATTGGAATAGTGCAGAAATGGTTAAAATAAATCAAGAAAGAATTGGAGACACATTATGATAGTATAGGAAATAAATATAAGTACCTCATTATAACCTTAGAGTCAAATGCACATTTTTAGTTGGTTTGTAGAGAGCATCATATGTTTGAATTGTGCATTATATATTTTTCCTCATTTGTTGGAATTCTAAACAGTAAGTATAAAACTTTCTTAGAGTCAGAGTAAAGGAACATACAGATCCTTCTATGGTATTCTCTGTGTTTTTTCCTTGGGAGAGAGTAAAAATTAAATAAGCAGCGTTGTTTTAAAAGACAAAATGCATTGGCAGAAATGCAAGGTCTTTGTATTTACCAAATTAGTAGTGATGAATAGTAGCAATTTCATTTCAGATGGGTGGAACCTAACTTAATTCAGGGGAAAAGTATATTTAGTTTTGAAGACAAATTTTTTTTTTATTACCTGACTTTACCTATTCGCTGTCTCCCCCCTTTAAAAATATTTTTATTGATTTCTGAGAGGAAGGGAGAGGGAGAGACAGAAACATCAATGATGAGAGAGAATCATTGATTGGCTGCTTCCCACTAGGGATTCAGCCCACAACCTGGGCATGTGACCTGACTGGAAATCCGTCCGTGACCTCCTGGTTCATAGGTTGAAGCTCCACCACTGAACCATGCTGGCAGGGCCTGTCCCCTCTTTTTTTTCCTTGAAGACTGGGTCTGGATCTCAAATACAACATGTATATCAGAAAAAAAACCTTAAGTATATGGCCATCCAAATGTCCCATTAACAATAGGCTTCTATTCAGAAATTCAAGGGCTTTTAAAGCAAAGTTCCTTAGAAAGATTTAGTCATGCTGAAAGATTATAGAAACAATGCTTTGTATAGCGTGGTCTCTGACATTACTTAGTGTTTGGGATTTTAGAAGTTTTTCCTGGGATAGAGGTGTTAATTTTATACCAGCTATAATTCAAACTGAGAAAACCTCTTGTTTCAGCCAGTTTTTTACAAGTGAAGTACTGTATTAATTTTCCACTTAACTACTCTCAGTAGTTTACATACATACATACATACATATATATGTTGTTGTTTTGGGTACTTTGATTCTAATAATGACTTTATATTTTAACTAAGTTTTGGGGGCAAATTTCCAAAGAGCAGTATAGGTATAAGAAAATCATGGCTAACACCATGTGAGTTGTTTTCACTACACATATATACTATTTGTTTTGGAATGTTTTGATTCATGTCAGTCTTACCAGTGATCAAAGATAAAGGGAGATACTGAAGATCTGGAATGGGAACAATTTGTTTTAGACTGCTGAGCAAATTATGTTTTGTCTAATTACATTTTAGTGCTAATTTCCCCCATACACACTCACACACCTTGAAGCCTAAGCACATTAGGGTTTTTCAAAAAGCAAAAGGGCCCTCACTGGTTTGGCTCAGTGGATAGAGCATTGGCCTGTGGACCCTGGGTTTGATTCCGGTCAGGGGCATGTGCCTGGGTTGCAGGCTCGATCCCCAGTGGGGGGCATGTAGGAGGCAGCCGATTGGTGATTCTCATCATTGATGTTTCTATCTCTCTCTCCCTCTGCCATCCTCTCTGAAATCAATAAAAATATATTTAAAAAAAAATAAAGCAAAAAGAGTGCAGCCAGCATGGCTCAGTGGTTAAGCATTCAACCTATGAACCAGGAGGTCACAGTTGGATTCCCCATCAGGTCACATGCCCGGGTTGTGGGTTGGATCAGGAGGCAGCCAATCAATGATTCTCTCTCATCCTTGATGTTCTATCTCTCTCTCCCTCTCTCTTCCTCTCTGAAATCAATAAAATGATTTTTTTAAAAGCGGAAAGAATGAGGGTTGGATTTCAATTTAGAGTAATCTGCCTCATAGATTCTAAAATTTTACTTCCCGATCCTTTCTTTTTTTTAAAAAAAATATATTTTATTGATTTTTTACAGAGAGGAAGGGAGAGGGATAGAGAGTTAGAAACATCGATGAGAGAGAAACATCGATCAGCTGCCTTCCGCACACCCCCAACTAGGGATTTGCCTGCAACCAAGGTACATGCCCTTGACCGGAATCGAACCTGGGACCTTTCAGTCCGCAGGCCGACGCTCTATCCACTGAGCCAAACCAGTTAGGGCCCGATCCTTTCTTAATAATGAAAATAATGAAAATAAAATGAACGTGCAATAATACCTCGCTTTACAAGTTCCTAAAAAGTTGATTAGAAATCATTTTATATAAGCCATTATGGTTTTGAGAACTTTTAATAAATTATTTTGGTAAGACAGTTCTTGCCTCTTGGGGGTTTGTTTAGGCACAACTTAATTATAACTTAATTATAAATTGAGGATACAAGGAACAAAAATTTTTTCCTGGGATCTGTCAATTAAGTAGTTCTGTAGTTAAAAACTTATGTGGCTCAATGGTTGAGCATCATGACCCAATAGGTCACCAGTTCTATTCCTGGTCAGGGCACATACCTGGGATGCAGGCTCGACCCCCAGCATGGGGCATGCCAGGAGGCAGCCAATCAGTGTTGATGATTCTCTCTCATCTATGTTTTTATCTCTCTCCCCCTCTCTCTTCCTCTCTAAAATCAATAAAAACATGTAAAAAAGTTTATATTTTGGTGAAGCATGCTTGTTACTTTTAATTTCTTGATTGATATACCCCCCTCCCCCCCTTTGGTATAAAGTATGACTTTTTAAATCATGTTTTCACTTTATCAGAAATTTAAACCAAAATTCTAAAAGTAAACATTGTGAATATTGGTATTTCCTAACATGGGGAAAAAATATCGATCTTCCTTTGGTTAAATAATTTTTAGTGTTATATGATAGAAATGTATTGTCATACAGGATTTAGTTCCTATTTCTTGAACTTTTTTTAGAATAGTTTTAGATTTACAGAAAAATTGTGAAGATAGTGCAGAGTTCTTATATGTCCTGAAACCCAGTTTCCCCATTAACATCCTATATTAGTATGATACATTTGTTACAATTAAACCAATTAATGAACCAATGTTGATTTATTATTGTTTGACAACTATTTTTAAGATTGCTAACTTAAAGTGTTTTTTTTAAGTTATAGTTCTCCATAGTTTAACTGATCTATTTTCCTTTATTTTGCTATAGCCTATCCATTGAACTGTCTTTTCTTTTTCCATTAGGAAGTCCATGAAGTCTAGAAGTAGAAGTCCTGCATATTCAAGACATTCATCTTCGCATAGTAAAAAGAAGAGATCCGGGTCACGTAGTCGACATTCCAGTATCTCACCTGTCCGACTTCCATTGAACTCCAGCTTGGGAGCTGAACTCAGTAGGAAAAAGAAGGAAAGAGCAGCTGCTGCAGCTGCAGCAAAAATGGATGGAAAGGAATCCAAGGGTTCACCTATTATTTTGACTAGAAAAGAGAACAGTTCAGTAGAAGCTAAGGATTCAGGTTTGGAGTCTAAAAAGTTACCCAGAGTTTTAAAATTGGAAAAATCTGCCCCAGATACTGAACTAGTGAATGTAACACATCTAAACATAGAAGCCAAAAATTCTTTAGATACAGGGAAAGTAAAGGTGGATGAGAACTCTGAAAAGCATCCTGTTCTTAAAGATTTGAAAGTACAGGGATCAAGAGACACTAAACCCATGGCATTGAAGGAGGAGATTGTTACTCCAAAAGATACAGAGACAACAGAAAAGGAGACCCTTCCACCTCTCCCCACAGTTACTTCTCCTCCACCTCCTTTACCGACTACTACCCCTCCACCTCAAACCCCCCCCTTGCCACCTTTGCCTCCACTACCAGCTATTCCACAGCAACCACCTCTGCCTCCTCCCCAGCCAGCATTTAGTCAGGTTCCTGCTTCTAGTCCTTCAACTTTGCCCCCTTCTACCCACTTAAGGACGTCTACTCTGTCCTCTCAGGCAAATTCTCAGCCCTCTGTACAGGTTTCTATGAAGACTCAAGTGTCTGTAACAGCTGCTATTCCACACCTAAAAACGTCAACGTTGCCTCCTCTGCCCCTTCCACCCTTATTACTTGGAGAAGATGACATGGATAGGTAAGTCCCATAGTTAACTGAGAAAACTTAACCTCTTGATCTAAGTGTAATACATTTTTCTCAAACTTTGTTAAAATTGCTCTAATGCATGGCTATTTAGAATGTTTTTATGAATAGGAAATGCCTTTGATGTTCAGTTTTCAGTGGAAAAGTCCTTATTTATGATATTACTTAGGAAGAATTACAATTTGAGGCCCAGTAACCCTTTTTCTCATAAGTCTATTGATAAGGCTACTTTGGATTCAAATTTTAAAAAATCAATAGCATTTTCTTTTCAAATCTTTGTGTTGAAAATTTTAGTAGCTTAGAAAAATTTTTTAAATGATACAATTAACACCCTTATACTCTTCACCTAGATCAGTGGTTCTCAACCTTCTCGCCCTTTAAATACAGTTCCTCATGTTGTGACCCCAACCATAAAATTATTTTCATTGCTACTTCATAACTGTACTTTTGCTACTGTTATGAATCGTAATGTAAATATCTGATATGTAGGATGGTCTTAGGCGACCCCTGTGAAAGGGTCATTCAACCGCCAAAGGGGTCTCAACCCACAGGTTGAGAACCACTGACCTCGATCCACCAGTGGTTAACTTTTGGCCACATTTGCTTTAACTGCAGATATTTGATACTTCTGAGTACTTTAATATGTCTCTAATAATAACAACATAGTATAAATAATAATCTATATATGTAAAAGCTTAAGCGACCATTATGACTGAATGACTGGAACAACCGGTCGACCAGTCGCTATGACGTGCACTGACCACCAGGGGACAGACGCTCAATTCAGGAACTGCCCCCTGGAGGTCAGTGCACTCCAACCCCCCGCCCCCCGCCCCCCGCAGGCCAGCCCCCACACAGTGGCCCCATGAGGGGGAGGGCGCCAACCTCTCATGGTCCCTCCCCCCAGCTGGCTGACCCCCCATAGTCCTCGATCGCCAGCCAGGCCTAGAGACCCCACCTGTGCACGAATTCGTGCACCGAGCCTCTAGTAGTAGTAATAATAGTGAATATCCTCAGTGGTCCCTAAAATGTCTTATGGCTTTTATTTTGTTTTGTTTTGTTTTTCCTTCCTGGTCCAGGAGAAAAATAAGCCAGGTTTATTTACTTCAAAATGTTCTGCTTTAAAAAAAACACAAAAAACAGTTATTCTATAAGAAGCAGAAGAATAATATGTAGAATCTTTACTATTTAGAATACAATTCACAACGGGATGATGAGGAAAACTAATTTTAATAAGTTCTCTGAGTATTGAGAATTGATTAAATGATTATGAAGCCTGAGTCTAATTTTATAGAAGACATTAGGAAATATTTTTAATTTCTTGACAGAACTAGCTAGGCAATTGCCACCAAGCACAATTTAGCAGTGACATATACCATGACAGTATTTATGTTACTGTTTTGTTTTTAAAAAAATATATATTTTATTGATTTTTTTTACAGAGAGGAAGGGAAGGGGATAGAGAATTAGAAACATCGATGAGAGAGAAACATCAATTCAGCTGCCTCCTGCACACTCCCTACTGGGGATGTGCCCGCAACCAAGGTATATGCCCCTGACCAGAATCAAACCTGGGACCCTTCAGACCGCTGGCTGACGCTCTATCCACTGAGCCAAACCAGTTATGGCTAGAACCACATTTAAATATTAGTTTTATGTAGTGGTTAGAGCACTATCAGTGTGGCTAAGAATCTTTATTTTGAAATTTTATTTAGCTAGCCAAATAATTATTGAATCAACCTACCATGGGTCATGTGGAGTGCAGGTTTTCAGGTGGAATAATGTTGATAGATGGCACATAGGGGTTTCTATATTTCAGATTAGAGATGAAGGGTAAAGTGAGACCATACAGTGCTTATGTAAGTATGTGTGGCTATCTTTAAGAATGTGTATGAGAGAGGATGAAGTGAGCAAACTATTTTTGTTATAGATCAATTCTGATTCTGAAAGTGTAACGATACTTTATTTCTTTTTTTTTTTTTTTTTAAATATATTTTATTGGTTTTTCACAGAGAGTTTCACTTTTAAGCAAATTATTAAAGGGATAAAAATGGAAATGAAGATTTCTTTCAATATCAATTTGTTCATATGTATATATACTCTCTATCCACGTGCCATTTATATCTATTTTTCACATGAAAAATAATTTTTATTTAAGAAAACTTTTCAGGAAGAAATCTAAAAGTTGCATATGGACCTCACTTATATTCTTATCTTCTCATGTGAAATTGCAGCAGCTTAAATGTTAAGAATATAATATACAGCTTTTTATTGCCTGCAGTGCTTTAAACAAGGAACACAGAATGCAGTCAGTAAATATTGATTATGTGAATGAATAAGTAAAACTGCTGAAGGAGTCAGAGTCTGTGTGAAATGACACTGGGCATGTAGTTAAATCATTTGGCACATGGATGACATAAAGCTTGTATTAGAGGATTTGTCTTCTTTTAGTTAAAATACTTTTGGAAAAAGAATGAAACTTTTCTTTCAAGCATATAGATTGCACAGGAGTGTATTAACCCAGGTATCAAATGCAGGAATTTAATTAATGGTATTGCAAAAGCCTTTCTGATTCATGGTTTATATTTCTTGGTTTCAATAAACAAAGGCTGCCTGGCCGGAGTGGCTCAGGTGGTTGAGTGTTGTCCTGTGCACCGAAAGGTTGCCAGTTTGATATCCTATCAGGGCACGTGCCTGGGTTGCGGGTTTGATTCCCAGTCTGGTTGGAGGTTGGGTCAGGGCACATAGGGAAGGCAACCAATTGATGTTTCTCTCTCACATCGATTTCTCTCTCTTCCTCTCTCTTAAGAATGTACTCAGGTGAGGATATAAAAAACACACAAACAAAACAAAGACTGCCAAACACCCACTTCAATATAGTATGTTCTTCATGAACATAGTTCATGAGGATCTCTTGCTTTGAAAGAGATCATCTGTATGAAACTTTCAGTTAACCATATAGGGTTTATAAATCTTTTTCTTTCTTTTTTTTTTTTTGGTAGCCTGGTTTATTTGGAGTTTATTAGACTTCTGTAGAACACTATTCTTTTTTAAAAATATATTTTTATTGATTACACAGAGGAAGGCAGAGGGAGAGAGATAGAAACATCAACGATGAGAGAGAATCATTGATCGGCTGCCTCCTGCATGCCCCACACAGGGGATTGAGTCCACAATCTGGGCATGTGCCCAGACCGGGAAACGAACCATGATCTCCTGGTTCATGGGTCAATGCTCAACCATTGAGCTACACTGGCCGGCCTACACTATTCTTAATGGCTGTTTATTTAACCCTTTGCACTCCGAACCATTCTGGACATTGGCTACCAGCTACTCGACGCTACTTTGCGGCGGAAACAAACGTGCATTTACAGACCCTCGTATTATTTAGTATAATTTTGGAACCAAGTAACGTATTATAATGATATTGGACTTATATGAATTGGGTGACATCGAGGAATGTATATTTGCAAAAAAAAAAATATTTTATTGTTTATAATTTTGTACAGTATGATAAGTTTTGTAACACTTCCCAATATGCATTGCAGGCTGATTAGTGCATGTTTGACAGTAATAAGTGGTTTGATGCCTGCCACCAGGTGTTTTCCTGTTAGAACACACAATGCAGTCCTGTTTTCTTTGTCCCACATCGGGAATATGTAGTTTATTGTTTAATCCGACACAAAACTCACTGACATTTCTTGTATATATCTTAGTAATTTTATGATATTTTGATTTAATTTCTTGTGCCATTTCAAGATAAAACTTCAGGGAAACATGCATGTCTCAAAAAGTTGCGTTGAAATAACTCAATTCCCCGTAATCACTAATAAACTGCAATGTCCCCTGAGAGGGGACATCCGAGTGATATGCTAGAATTCCGATGTCCCCTGAGAGGGGACAGCGGAGTGCAAAGGGTTAAAGTATTGAGCTCTTAGAGAAAAAGAAGGGATCTATGTGAGCATTCACATTTGATTTAGGATTTTGCTAATAGTATGCTTAGTTTTAATTTTTTAAAAATATATTTTTTTATTATTTCAGAGAGGAAGGGAGAGAGAGAGAGATAGAAACATCAATGATAATAGAATCATTGATTGACTGCTTCCTGCATGCTTCACACTGGGGATCAAGCTCATAATCTAGGCATGTGCCCTGACTGGGAATTGAACCGTGACTAGGTCAACGCTCAACCACTGAGCCACACTGGCTGGGCTCTTTCCAATTTTTAATGTATCACACAAGAATTATTTGTCTGTGTGTGTGTGTGTGTGTGTGTGTGTGTGTGAGAGAGAGAGAGAGAGAGAGAGAGAGAGAGAGAGACACTGATTTGTTCCACCTATTGATTCATTCAGTGGTTGATTCCTGACCAGGGTTCGAACCTGCAACCTTGGCGTTTCAGGACAATGCTCTAATCAACTGAGCTACCCAACCAGAGCTCAACTCGAATTTTTTTTTAAATATATACTTTATTGATTTTTTACAGAGAGGAAGGGAGAGGGACAGAGAGTTAGAAACATCTATGAGAGAGAAACATGGATCAGCTGCCTCCTGCACACTCCCTACTGGGTATGTGCCTGCAACCAAGGTACATGCCCTTGACCGGAATCGAACCTGGGACCCTTGAGTCCACAGGCTGACACTCTATCCACTGAGCCAAACCAGTCAGCGCTCAACTCGAATTTTTAATTGAAGTTTGTAAGAATAAATCGCTTTTTAAATAATCTGCTTTTAAGTGGAAGAGGATAAATTATCATATTTAAAGTTTATGCTATTGAATTTTTAACATTATGAAGAAATTTTCTTTTTAAATAGTTCAAAAGGAATTATACTTTCTTTTTTAACAATAAAGACTTCTTATTAGAGGTGTTTACATTATACAGATTAAATCTCATTATAAATTTCAAGAGACTCTTGGGGAGTGGCGGCAGCTGGGGAGAGGTCAGTGGGGGAAAAAGGAGACTTACTTAATACTTTAAACAATAAAGAATTTTTAAAAAGAGAGACTCTTAAACTTCAGGCAGTCCTGGATCTTGACAACTTTTATACATGAGCTCTGGCCAGTGTCCTCAGTGGTTAAAGCATTGGCCTGTGCATTGAGGGGTTGTGGGTTTGACTCCTGGTCAAGGGCAGGTACCTCGGTTGCAGGTTTGATCCCCCAGCCCTGGTTGGGGTGCATGCAGGAGGCAACCAATCAATATGTCTCTTTCACATTGATGTTTTCTCTCTTTCTTTCTCCTTCCACTCTCTCTCTAAAAACAGAAAAGTGTTGGAAAAAATAATCCTCTGGTGAGGTTTAAAAAAAATTATTATACAATCTACTCACCATATGTGAGTTGTCTATAGGTATAAATGGGGAACCAGGAAGTACTGATATTAAGGTAGTTCAGTATTTCATGGTACTGGATTTTTAAGTAATGACTTAAGAGTCAGTGTCTGCTTCCCTATGTTAGAACATCTCGACATCTGTATGTCCTCAGAACTATATAGAGCTATATTTTACCGAGTGCCCTACACTAAAGGCTAAAGACCATAATGTTGTTAAGCATTGCAATTTTATGGGCCATCATTCCAAGGTTTTTTGGAACATTGGAATTTGTGGGGTTTGGGGGGGGTTTTTTTGGAATTTGTTGAAGTAGCATTTGATCCATATTCAACATGTATGTCCTAAATTAGTAGGATGTACACATCCTGTCAAACACTCATTCTTTCTTGAAAAAAACATGCTACTAATGTGATTTTTTTCCAGAAGCAATGTACATTTTCACAGCAGCAAATTATATTTGAATCCATTAAGTAAACTTTGGATGAAAACAAAACCTAACTATAAAACATAGACTGAACTTACATGAAATAATGATGATAGAATTCAGATACTTTGATTCTGGTGAAGCAGAACCAAGAACTAATGCATTTCTGAATCATGAGGAGTTGAAATTTACAAAGAACAGTTTGCTAACCACTATGCTGTACACCTGAAACTAATACAAAATAATATTGAATGTAAACTGTAATTGAAAAATAAAAATTTAAAAATAGTTTCTCAGGAATACAAAACAATATCTGACATTAGTTGAGAAGTGAGGAATTTTCTTTCCCTGAATATCTTGAAAATTGGGGAAATTTTAAGAATGTATATTGTATCCTGACTTGAGAGTTTCCTGGTAATATGCTTTGTTCCCAGGGTAGAAGAATCGTGCAAATTGTAATGTCATAAGTTATCTCTATCAGTAATTTAACAGAAAGCTCAGATGATCATTTTGCAAACTAATCTAGATTCTATTCTGTCTGATTGACAAGAGCTTAAAATGATGAAAATTGGTAGGAGGAAGTAGCTTTTGAGATTGTTTCACACACAAAGGGCAGCAGTATGCTTCAAAAAGGTACATTGCAAGGGTAGAGCTAGTCTTTATGAAACATATTCATGAAAGAATATGTTTCATCTTCTAAGATCTACTTTTAAGACTTCCATTCCCTGTAGTTATCAACTGCTTGTACCTGGCGTTTAGAAATTAGTATGTTAAACTGAACCAGCTTATAGGAGTAACTATCTATAGGGCTTGTTTACCAAAGAAAAGTATTGCTTAGAATAACAAAATTATAAGCCTGTCTAGGCATGTTGTAAAGCTTTTCAAAAGTAATTCAGATCAAGTTTTGAATGGAAATGTAATGCTCAAGTTACAATCTGCTTTAAAAAGAAAAAGGAGAATATGTTTTTTTATAACCACTTGTCAAAAAAAGTGGAGGAGGCTCCTACTGTGGTTACGATTCTCAGATCCTTTTCAATCTTCTAATACTGTGATGGAATAGAAAAGGCTTACTATCTAACATGGTTTTATTTGTAGGAATGAATTAATATACTGCACTGTCTTTTCTGAGGACATGCACGGCACAAAATCCTTCACCTACTTAAATTAAATTGATATAGATTTTTTAGTTTGAGGTTTATTTATCCATCTTGGCAGGTTAGATATGGTTGCCTTTTGCTTCCAAACCAATAGAATAAGTCAGTATACTTTTCACTAGTTTTGATTTCCAGCTTAGCTTTATTTCTTTTTCCGAGTTCTAAAATACTATTCCCTTTGTCCAAGTTCTCTCCACATCTTTAATGATACGGTAATGTTACATTGTTGAGCTTTCATTTGTTTAAATCTTTGCTGGTTAAAATATAGAGTAGGTTTGATGATGCCATGAGTTGTAGTGAATTTTGCAAATTTAAGATGATTACTTTCTGCATTTTATTTCATCTCAGTAAAAATCCAAATAGAATCTGGCCCATGTGGCTCAGTGTTTGAGTGTTGCCCCATGCACCAAGAGATTGCTGGTTCGATTCCCAGTCAGGGCATATGCCTGGGTTACAGGCTTGATTCAGGTGGGGGCATGCAGGAAGCAGCTGATTGATGTTTCCCTCTCATCAATGTTTCTATTCCACTCTCCCTCTCCCTTCTACTTTCTATAAAGATCAATTTAAAAATCTTAAAAAAAAAAACACCTAAATAGAATCTTGGGAAGGATATTAAAGGAAGAGTTTGTTAAAGGACCTACAAATAATACTCGAAAATTTTTATTATTTCTTTATTTTTTTAAATATATTTTTGTTGATTTTTAGATAGAAACATTGGTTGGTTGCCTCCCATACTCACCACAACCTGGGCATGTGTCCTGACCATGAATTGAACCAGTGACCTTTCTTTTTTTAAAATTTATTTTAAAATATACTTTTATTTTTTTTAATATATATATATTTTTTTATTTCAGAGAGGAAGGGAGAGGGAGAGAGAGAATCATTGATCGGCTGCCTCCTACATGTCCCCAACTGGGGATTGACCCCGAAACCCTGGCATGTGCCCTTGACCGGAATCAAACCTGGGACTCTTCAGTCCAAAAGCCCACTCTCTATCCACTGAGCCAAACCAGCTAAGGGCCCAGGGACCTTTTTATTGCACAGGAAGATACTCAACCAACTGAGCCACACCGGCCAGGGCTATTATTTCTTTAATATATTATAGATTTCTTTTTGCAAAATCCAAGTCTTTTTAACTTTGATAAACTCCTTTTTATGACTTTGTATTATGGATTTTTTCCTTTAAAAGTAAAATCTTTGTAATCTTTTAATAGCCAGACATTAGAATCTTGATAGTTTTATTTGGATATCCTTTAAGTAATTGTGATCTTTTCTTCTTTATTGTTTAGTCCAAAAGAAACTCTGCCTTCAAAACCCGTAAAGAAAGAGAAGGAGCAAAGGCCACGTCACTTACTCACGGACCTCCCTCTCCCTCCAGAACTCCCTGGTGGGGATCCATCTCCACCTGACTCTCCAGAACCAAAGGCAATCACACCACCTCAGCAACCATATAAAAAGAGACCAAAGTGAGTTTTTGTAGGGACCTACCTTAAGTACAGCTTTTATTACAGTGAAGAACTTTGGAGCTTAAATCTCACACTTTGTTCTACAACCCACACTAGTAGGATCATAAAAGATTGAGCCTAATGTATATCTATTATTTTATTTTAATGGATAAAAACCTACTACTTAGGAGACCTATTCATCTACATTCACAGATACGTAGCTGTTATTATTTTTTTAGAAAAGCAATAATTTCCCCAATCCAAATATATCACGAACATTGATCCCATTGTATCTTTTGAGTTCATAATATTTAGAGTATTAAAGGAAAAAAAGAAGCCCTTATACTCAGGGTGTGTAAGCCATGTACATATTAATGAAATTAATAGATGTGGGATTTTTTTTCTTTAATCACATAAATTGCCACACCATAAATGTAGTAGAATCTGGGTTTGATCTTCTGATTGTTAGCATTCCTCTCTTAATAAAAAGTTACTTTTCTTGAGTACTTATTATTGCCAAAGTTTTCTATTTTTATTGTAACCCTATGATGTAGGGATTCTTTTCCCATTCTATAGGTGAGTAAGCAAATACTCAATAGAGGTCAGAAACTAAGCAGCAAATCTACTTTATCTTGTGTCCTCCTGAAGTAAAAAAAAAAATCCGTGTTTTAGCCATCGTGAGAGACAGTTTAAACTATTTATTTCATATTATTTAATTCCTGCCTTTTTAATAAAGAAATTCATAGAAGACTCAGGAATTAGAGAAATCATAAAAGAATTTTTTTTTTTTTAGTAGACTTAATTTTAAAAAACAACTTTTTGTTTTGCCATTTTTAGAATCTGTTGTCCTCGTTATGGAGAAAGAAGACAGACAGAAAGTGATTGGGGGAAACGCTGTGTGGACAAGTTTGACATTATTGGGATTATTGGAGAGGGAACCTATGGCCAAGTATATAAAGCCAAGGACAAAGACACAGGTAAATATTGCCACGAAATTTAGATGTCAGGTTAAAAAGTTAGCAATACTGATGTCTTAAGTGGACTTATCAAAAGTAAGTTTTGGAAAAAAAAAAAAGAAGTAAGTTTTGGGTTCTAATTTGGTCTCTAAAAGTTACTAAATAGACTAAAATTTTCCAAAAGAATAGTATAATTATTACAGTTTAAAACCTTCCTCTTTTTCGTTGTCTTTTGTAAATGTTTTATAATAAGCTTGCTTGGAATTTAAGAGAGGGTAAAAATAAAATGTGTAAATTGCTCTTTGTTTGATAAGGGGCTTAGTCCTTGAAGATAAAATAATGTAGTTGAATTATTGGTGTATTTTTTTTTTTTTTTTTTTTTAAATATATTTTATTGATTTTTTACAGAGAGGAAGGGAGAGAGATAGAGAGTTAGAAACATCGATGAGAGAGAAACATCGACCAGGTGCCTCCTGCACATCTCCTAATGGGGATGTGCCCGCAACCCAGGTACATGCCCTTGACCGGAATCGAACCTGGGACCCCTCAGTCCGCAGGCCGACGCTCTATCCACTGAGCCAAACCGGTTTCGGCTATTGGTGTATTTTAATAACCAAAATGTTTAAGCCTAACTGATTATGGGATTTATAAAAATTCAAGTCTTAAAGAAATCAAAGATAAGAAAGGGAACTTAGGGACTTGTTTTTTAAGATATAAAAGCATTAAAATAGGCATTAAGTCAGTCTTTCAGAGCAAGGGCATATATTGACTAGATGGTAGCCAAAAAAATGCTAGTTGATACTATAATAATTTGAATTTATTGTGACAGGAGAGCTAGTGGCCCTGAAGAAGGTGAGACTAGACAATGAGAAAGAAGGCTTCCCAATCACAGCCATTCGTGAGATCAAAATCCTTCGGCAGCTAATCCACCGAAGTGTTGTTAACATGAAGGAAATTGTCACAGATAAACAAGATGCACTGGATTTCAAGAAGGACAAAGGTACAAGCAAAGAACTATGTACAGGGTAGATTAGTACATCTTATTTTTCTTTCTTAGCATATTGTCTGTTTGCATTGTTTATAGTTTTTACTAAACTCCAACTTTTTACTTGAACCCATACCAGAATTAAGATGTCAGTTAGCATATTGCTTTTGTGTTGAATAATGCTTATTTTATAAAATGTCCATTTTTCAGTGTACTCGTATACTTTTAGAAGTTATTGTTAATTATTAAAATTAGTGTTTGCTGTGCCACTTAAAGTCTTTTTTTTTTACAAATTATAATAACAATTATGGAAATTAAAACCCAGATTTATCAGTTACTTTCATTTCTTAAAATTTTTAATTATTTTTAATTATAGTTTACAAACAATATTATATTGCTTTCAGATGTACAACATAGTGATTAGACATTCGTATCCCTTATGAAGTGATCACCACAAGTTTAGTAACTGTCTGTCACCATGCAGTTATTACATTACTAGTAGCCCTGCGCACCAATCCATGCGCCAGTAGCTTGCTGCCTCCCTCCTATAGCTCTCTGCCCACTGCCCCCCCATAGCTTGCTGCCCTGCCCCCTCCTGTAGCTCTCTGCCGCCCGCTTGTAGCTCACTGCCCCACCCTCCTGCTGATCGGTGATCCAGTCGTTATGCCGTCCGTTGTTATGTAACGACCATTTGCATATTACATCTTTATTATATAGGATAGGATTACTGGCTATATCCCCTATGCTGTACATTATATCTTGGTGACTAATTTTATAATTAGCAATTTGTACTTAATTCCTTTCACCTTTTTTTTTTTTTCTCCTTTCACCTTTTTTGCTTATATCCTAATGCCTCACCTATCTGGCAGCCATCAGGTTGTCCTCTGTATCTATGAGTTTGTTTCTTACTCTCATTTTTACATCATCCCTTCTGGTTATTGTTTATGTGCATCCATATTTTTCCATAGTTTTTCACTGATACAGTTTAGAATTCAGTGCAGGTATTTCTAAATCTTCACGTTTGTTTTCCTGGATTTTTAACTTTTGTCTATTTGGGCAATAAAATTGTGGTTTTTTTTGTTCCCGTACTTATGTTTGAAGTAGTCTATATATGACATCTAATATACTTTTATTGAAATAAGTCTGAAGGTTTAGAGATGGGCAGCTGTGAAGAGATGGCATGTGTGAATATAATCTAGAATGTTACAAGAGAATATGATTGGGAGGAAAAGAATGTATAAACTTTGCCCTAGCCGGTTTGGCTCAGTGGATAGAGCGTTGGCCTGTGGACCAAAGGGTGCCAGGTTCGATTCCCGTCAAGGGCACATACCTTGGTTGCAGGCTCCCCTCTGGACCGGGCACTGATCAGGGCTTGTGCAGGAGGCCACCAATCGATGTGTTTCTCTCACATTGATGTTTCTCTCTGTCTTTCCCTCTCTCATCTACTCTCCCTAAAAATCAGTGGAAAAATATCTCCAAGAAATATCCCTGGTTGAAGATTAACCAAAAATAATATACAAACTTATAGTTGTAAAATACGTCAGGGGCCCAGCCCGGCCAGTATTGCTCAATGGTTGAGCATTGACCTATGAAACAGGAGGTCATGGTTCAATTCTGGGTCAGGTCACATGCCAGGGTTGTGGGCTCCATCCCCAGTTAGGGGGGTGTGCAGGAAGCAGCCGATTGGTTATTCTCTCTCACCATTGATGTTTCTCTCTCTCCCTCTCCCTTCCTCTCTGAAATCAATAAAAATATATTTTAAAAAAATAAGTCAGTGGGATGTAATGTACAATATAGGGACTATAGTTAATGATATTGTATTAACTATGTGTACTGACCAGTGATTACTAGACATACTATGGTGATCCCTTCATAAAGTATATAACAGTTGAATCTCACTATGTTGTGTACCTAAAGCTAATATAATATTGTATGTCAACTATAATTAAAAATAAATTTTACAAAAACAGAATTGAAGTATATAAATTTAGAATGTAATGGATTAATCTGTACTTATTTACATAGTCTTAAAGATATTAGCACTAGGGAAGTAGCACCTCTGTAGTTTGGTAGAAGTACTTTTAAAGCAATTAAAAGGGAATTCTGCTTATGTAATAGTATTTAGATAAATTTATGAAAGTTAGATCTGATACTGGGTTTATTTTGGGGAATAATACTCTGAATATTCCATGTTAGAGAGAGAGGAAGGGAGAGGTATAGAGAGATAGAAACATCGATGAGAGAGAAACATCATTGATTGGCTGTCCCCTGCACGCCCCCCACTGGGGATTGAGCCTGAAACTCGGGCATGTGCCTTGACCAGGAATTGAACTGGTATGGATAGATGCTCAACCACCAAGCCACACAGGCCGGGCTAAATTAGTTATTTTTTAAATAATAAAATAATGGATGGATGTGATGCATGCCCATTGTGGAAAAATTGAAAATATCTATATATATAAAAGGCTAATATGCAAAGTGTTTCTCTGCTCCTCTGACGGGTCGCTATGACACACACTGACCATCGGGGCAGATGCTCAATGCAGGAGCTGCCAAGCTGCAGTGACTTGGCAGCAGTGGTTCTCAGGTGACACACCCGAAACCAGAGAGGAGGGAACCTGATTCCTTGTGGGGCTGTATGATTCCACCTTTGGCCGTGGGTTATGTTGTTGCTGGGGCACTATTGGCCCCGAATCTGGTTTACTACACACTTGCATTTGTGTTCCACACCCTATATGACAGCAACTTTGCAGAATGCCCTCTTGCACTCTGAGACCCCTTAAGGGATGTCGGAGAGCTGGTTTTGACCCGATCCTTGCAGGCCAGGCCGAGGGACCCCGCTCACTCTGCAGATGCCCTTCAAGCCACGGCGCCACCCCAGATGTGGCCAGCTGGGAAGGGACTGCGGGAGGTTGACTCCAGGGCATGTCCGGCCCGTCTCACGCAGTCTCGCTCCACTGGCCATTTTCTAATTAATTTCCTTTCAACGTGCACGAATTCATGCACCAGGACACTAGTAGGAGAATAAGAAAAAGAAAATGGCAATCACTTTTCTCTCACTCCAATCCAGTATACCATAGAACCACTATAGTATTAGCATTTTGGCATATTTCTTTCTAGTACTTTATATTACATATATATTCATCTTAACATTACTGGGATCAAATATAGTTAGTGTTTTATAGCTTGTCATAAGCAATTTCTCATATCATTAACATGTTTTAATGACTGTGCATAAAGGTAGATGAATCCAAATTTACTTCATCAGTCACTGTTGAGCAATTAATTGCCAGTTTAAAAATACACAACAGTGCATTGAACATCTTTGTACATAAATCTTTACATTTAGATTTATTTCTTAGTATAGTTTTTGAGACATAGAATTATTTGGTCAAAAGGATTTTCATATTTATTGTTAGATTGCTTTTAAGAAAGAGAGTAATAATTTATGTCCCACCAGTGAGTGTCCATTCCATTTTATCTTCCCTAACATTGAGTACATATTTTTAAAAAATGGTCATCTTGATAGGTGAAGTATATTATTTTGAATTGCATTTCTTATATTTCATCTGAGTTTTTTTCCATGTTTATTAGTTTTACTTATTTTCTCTTTTTTGAGTTGTCCTTTGTCTCCTTATCTTTTACAGTTTTGTGCTTTTCTTATTAATTTGTATGAGGTGGTAGCTAAATCTCTCTAAGATATTCCTTTAATGTAGTAGTTCTTAACTTTTTGGGGTCATGACCTCTTTAAACATGGATCCATTTTTCAAAAAAAATGTTTAATATGTTGCATATATATATCTTTAAAATGTTGTATACTGTTTCAGAGAGTTCGAAGAGTCCTTCAAGCCTACCCCCTAGATTCAGAATCCTTGCCTTTATGTTACCAGGAGACAGGCGTTTAGACCAGATAAATCATTGTCTAACTAGGTCTAGTATTTCTTATGTTTTGATATTTGTCTCTATTATGAACCCTGTTGAAAGTGGCATTATGGTATGGATTTCAAATCTTTTACAGTTCTCTAAAAGTACTTTTTTTATCTGCTTCTAAATTTAGGGAGTTTAAATAGATGATTCATCTTTCTTTCATTACTAAATACTATGAAATTTACTAACAATTTATACTAAATAGACTGTGCTTCCCCCCCTCCCCTCCAGCATATTATGTGAGTCCTATTAATGAATATAAAGATTTCTACAAAAGTAGTCATAGACAGTATGTAACAAAATGGGCATGGTTGTGTGTTACAAATAAAACTGTATTTACAACAGACAAGCAGACTGGATTTGGCCCAAGGTCTATCATTAGCCAATTGACTTAGATCATAAAAGACTAGTAATAATGCAACATGATTGGGGCAGTTGTCTTCCTCAAGACATAGTAGTCTAAAGAGTTCTGGACTAGGAGTCAGAAGATTAATTCAAATAGTTTTGTTACTTGTTATTAGAAAGGGCAAGTTATTCAGCTACTCTGAATTTCAGTTTCTTCGTCTATAAAATTAAGCAGTTGTTCCAGAGGGCCTTATAGTCAACTCCAAAATTATGTTAAAATTTGAAGCATTGTAATTTAATAATCCTTTTTCTATTGGTTTTAATTTTTCTTTTATCCTATGTAGGTGCCTTTTATCTTGTATTTGAGTATATGGACCATGACTTAATGGGACTGCTAGAATCTGGTTTGGTGCACTTTTCTGAGGATCATATCAAGTCATTCATGAAACAACTAATGGAAGGATTGGATTACTGTCACAAAAAGAATTTCCTGCATCGGGATATTAAATGTTCTAACATTTTGCTGAACAACAGGTAACACAGTAAAACTAAATGAGGTTAAGCATTTTTTCCCTTCTGAGCCCCTTAGTTTCAATTAGTTGGGGTTAGCAGTGGTTCCCAAACTTATTTGGCCTACCGCCCCCTTTCCAGAAAAAATATTACTCAGCCCCTGGAAATTAATTTTTTAAAAATTTTAATAGCAGTTACTCATCGCACCCAAATGCACCTGTGGCCATCACCGCCCCCCTGGATCGCTGCAGCGCCCACCAGGGGGCGGTAGCGCCCACTTTGGGAATCACTGGGTTATAGGTAGAGCCAGTCGTACAGTTTTTTGCGTTTACATACACAAATGGTGTTTGTACCTTAGAAACAACTTATAATAGGGGTATCCTGATCTGCAGTCTCCAGACTCAGTGTTGATAAGGAATTAACAGAGGTAGGATTGTAACTTGCAAACATTTAAGGGAATCAAATCATATCCTACAGGACTATTCAGAGAGTTTTTGCCATAGTTAGTAAATAATATTCAAACATACATTGAGTTCTTTCTTTTTTTAATTTAAAAAAATATTTTTTAATTGATTTTAGAGAGGAAGGGAAGGGAGGAGGAGATAGAAATCAATTAAGAGAGAGAATCATTGATTGGCTGCCTCCTATGCCCCCTACTGGAGATCGAGCCAGCAATCTGGGCATGTGCCCTGACTGGGAATCTAACCGTTACTTCCTGGTTCATAGGTTGATGCTCAACCACTGAGCCACTCTGGCTGGTCTCTTCAGAAGTTTTTATCATCTACTTTCTTCCTCTCTGACTGTTTGCCTAAATTCCATTGGTAATATCAGATGTATTATGCACAGTTGTCATTGGTGATAGTCCTATCTATTGAGGAATAAAAAGCAAGTTTGACACTATTAAAATCAGGCCAGTATTTGTTTCTTTAGGAAATTGGGCTGTTTACAGCCACCTTTGTCTGATTCACTCATTGTTTTTTTGTTTGTTTTTTAAAAATATTTTATTAATTTCAGAAAGGAATGGAGAGGGAGAGAAAGATGGAAACATCAATGATGAGAGAGAATCATTGATCTGCTGCCTCCTGCATGCGCCACACTGGGGTTCAAGCCCACAGCCTGGGCATGTGCCCTGACTGGGAATTGGACCTGTGACCTTCAGGTTCATAAGTCTATGCTCAACCGCGGAGCCACACCGGTCGGGCAGATTCACTCATTGTTTTCAACATTTCTGTTTAAAAATTGGACAAACATAAATAGCAATATGAAATGATTCTGACATATTTTTTGGTCTTTGTGGAGTGGGGTGACCAACCATGCAGGGTTACCCAGGACTGTCCTGGTTTCAGTGCTGAAAGTCCTACATAGGGTGGTTGGTTGGTCACTGGAGAGCTCCGAGTTTAGTAGGGGAGCTAAACAAATAAATTGCTCAATTCAATAAACTTTTTATTAAGCCATTTTATTCCTTGAATTTGGGAGCGCCTGGGGAGATCCAGTATAGAGGAATGAATAGGAATTTATCAGGAAGACTGACAACAGAGGGCCGAGTTTCTAGGCAAAATAAATTGCATTGACAAACGCACATAAATGTGAAAATAACATAGCATGTCTGGAAAATGAAAAATCAGTATTGCTAGGGTAAAGCTGGACAGTTGCAAGAACCAATTTAAGGATCTAGTATAAGTCGCTAAGGAGGTTAAACTTCATAAGTGACAGCCACTGAAGGATGTTGGTTCAGTTAATTCTTTGTTTTTAAATTATAAAACTAATGCATTATTTTAAGTTAAAAAATATATAAACTGCATATATTTGTACTTAAATATCTTTTTGAGACAAAACATAGTGTTGAGATTATTTCTTTCTGTTGCTATCTCTATGACCCAGAATTCTCATTAAAGCTGGGCGTAGTTAATTTACATCTATAGTTGTAATGTTTCAAGAACTTGATGGTTATCGGCTTGCAGCTTTCTGGACTATAGTATTATCATAGTTTCTTCTGTTCCTTTTGCTCCTCCATGGGGGATGTTTCAGGCAAGGGAATAACTACAATCCTGCTTGGTGTCTTTTCTGGTTGGTGGGTCAGGCCCCTCCCTATTCCTGATTTCCCACAATCAGGAAATTAAGGAAGCTGGGTGGGATGTAGGAGTCTCATAGTCTAGCTATATGTAGCTTTTGCTCTTCCCATTTAATTCTGTCTACACAGAGACTTCTGGGTGATATTACCTGGAGAGAATGGTAAGGAGACCTCAGCTGGAGAAGAAAGAGAAAGCAGTTGATAAGAGAGGGAGGAGAGCAGGGCTAGTAAGTCATGTGGGAGTTCCAAACTAGCAGTATACATGGATTCAGGAGTTATCAAGCATAGAAAAAATGTCAGAAGATAGAACCCAAGGGAATGGGCAGAGAAAGAGGAAGAAAATAAAGTATATGCCGAAGCCGGTTTGGCTCAGTGGATAGAGCGTCAGCCTGTGGACTGAAGGGTCCCAGGTTCGATTCCGGTCAAGGGCATGTGCCTGGGTTGCGGGCACATCCCAGTGGGAGATGTGCAGGCGGCAGCTGATCGATGTTTCTCTCTCATCGGTGTTTCTGACTCTCTATCTCTCTCCCTTCCTCTCTCTGTAAAAAAATCAATAAAATATATTTAAAAAAAAAAAAGAAAGAAAGAAAATAAAGTATATCACGAATGCAAAATAGGCAAGTTTAAGAAGTGAGTGGCCATAGATGTCCAATGATGTAGACAGATTATAAGACTTACAAGAATGTGAAAATTAAAAGGTCAGTGGTGACTGTGGGGTAAGTGGATGGGTAAGACAATTCATAGGAAGGTGATGGTAGATATGTGTCTTTAATTTTATATTTAAGGATACAGAGGTTCGCCGAAACCGGTTTGGCTCGGTGGATAGAGCGTCGGCCTGCGGACTGAAGGGTCCCAGGTTCGATTCCGGTCAAGGGCATGTACCTGGGTTGCAGGCACATCCCCAGTAGGAGATGTGCAAGAGGCAGCTGATCGATGTTTCTCTCTCATCGATGTTTCTAACTCTCTATCTCTCTCCCTTCCTCCCTGTAAAAAATCAATAAAATGTATTTAAAAAAAAAAATTATAAAAAAAAAAAGTTGAAAACTAGAAAAAAAAAGGATACAGAGGTTTGAGTATATTTAAATGCTAATGAAATAGAAAATCAATAAAACTTGAAGATTCAGGAAAGTTTCAGAACAATTTAAAGGAGGGAGGGTCTAGAGGAGTTGGGATCAAAGACACAGGTGGTAGTAGCCACAAATGTAGGTGTTGATTAGCCTTGAACAGGAGAAGAGATTGCCAAACTTGTTCTGTAGTTAAAGGAAGGGGAAGAAGTTATAGGTGCAAAAAGTTTATAGGTAACATGATGGTTTCTGTTTTCAATGAAGGTCATTTACTGAGAGTAGTGGGAAGGGGTGGATTAGGTGCTGGTGGTATTTAGGTCTGGCCTATTTTTCCATAACTATGTCTATTGCCATTTTAACTTTTAGTCTACTATGTGCCTTGAGTCGTGGACCATCTCAGGCTCTCAGAGTAAGATGCCAAGAAATTTGAGGAACCCTTTTTGTCTCATTATAAAACTCAAGTCAGCTATTCCTTTCCATTTTGCTTTTCTCAGAATTTGGTTATAAATTGACCTTTAAAATGTAATGATGTTTGGAGCAAGTATGCAAGATGCCCATAATCTTTACTAGAAATGATTAGAATTGATTTAATGTAAAATTTTGTTGTTACAGGCATACTTTGGAGATTTTGCTAGTTTGGTACCAGATCACCACAGTAAAGCAAATATCACAGTAAAGTGAATCATACAAATTTTTTAGTTTCCCAGTGCATATAAAAGTTATGTTTACACTATACTCTGTTGAGAGTGCAACAGCATTATGTCAAAAAAATGTACATAACTGAATTTTAAAAATACTTTGTTGCTAAAAAATGCTAACCATCAGTTGAGCCTTTAGTGAATCCTAATTTTTTTGCTGATGGAAAGTCTAAGCCCTACTTGCATATAACTGTGGGCTTGCTAGAAATTCTAATTTTGGTGCTATGACCTACTGAATTAGCTTCTTTGGCAGTAGGGCCCAGGATACTTTTAATAAGCTTTCCAAGTGATTTTTATTTCATATTACAGTTTGAAAACCCCTCTAAGGTCATAGTTGTATATCATTACTAGAGGCCCGGTGCACAAAATTCATGCACAGGTAGGGTCCCTAGGCCTGGCTGGCGATCAGGACTGATTGGGGCCTTCTGGCTGCTGACTGGGGCCTTCCTTCGTTCCCTGCTGTACCCTCGTGGTCAGCGCACGTCATAGTGAGTGATCGAACTCCCAGTCTCTCGGTCAAACTCCTGAGGGGACACTTTGTATATTAGCCTTTTATATATATAGATTTTATAGGAAGTGATGGTAATATGTTGGTAGAAGGCCTCATTCATCATAAAAATTGTTAGCTCAGATCAAAGCTATTGTCCCTTTTGAAAAAAATCTGTGATAGCCACAGTGTTGTTTACTTTTTATTATGAAAAAGTCAAATTACAAGAAAAAGTTGAGACTGATATAATTAATTACATATACAATTAACATTTTATTATAGTTGCTTTTATTTTTCTGCTTGAGTTATTTTATTTATTTTGTTTTAAAATATATTTTTATTGATTTTAGAGATGAAAGGAGAGGGAGAGAGAGAGAGAAATATCAATGATGAGAGAGAATCATTGGTCTGCTGCCTCCTGCACATGCCCCACACTGGAGGTCGAGCCCCAAAACCCAGGCATGCACCCTGACCGGGAATTGAACCCTGACCTCCTGGTTCATAGGTCGATGCTCAACCACTGAGCCATGCAGGCTGGGCTCTGTTTGAGTTATTTTAAAGCAAATTACAGACATCATTACATTTGACCCTAAATACAAAATTAATTATTACCTACTAGAGGCCCGTTGCATGAATTCGTGCACGGGTGGGGTCCCTTGACCTGGCCGGCTATCGGGGCCAATCAGGGCCGACCAGCGGGCGGGGTGGGGGGAACCATGGGAGGTTGGGGGTGGGAGTGCACTGACCACGAGGGGGCAGCTTCTTTGTTGAGCATCTGCCCCCTGATGTTCAGTGTGCATCATAGCTACCAGCCGTTCATTCAGTTGTGTCGTCATCTGGTCATAACGGTCACTTAGGCTTTTATATGTATAGATTATCTTCTAACACTCAATCCATATATTTTTTCAGTTATGTCAAAAATATCTTTTGTATACTTAGTTTGGATTTTGAGTTGGATTTAATTGTTAGGCCTCTTAAATCTCTCTTAATCTAGAACAGCCATTTCTCCCCCCTGTAATAAGTATTTAATCATGAGGGTCTAGCCACTGTTTGCCAAGACATGAAGGAACTATTTAGTTGAGTCAAATCCAAAAATTAGTAGTTTTCCCCCCAAAAAAGCCCCAAGGCTTAGTAACCCTAAGGTTACTGGAGTAATCAAAAGAGACTTAACCTGGGAAAGCAGGTTAAAAGCAGAGATTAAAATCAATTTTTGTAAATCCTCTAACTCCTAAATTAACAGTTGACTTTTTACGTATAATTTGGAGATTATTGCTGTTAGTTATGAAAATAATTTATTTTGTTTTACAGTGGGCAAATCAAGCTAGCAGATTTTGGACTTGCTCGGCTCTATAACTCTGAAGAGAGGTGAGACATTTAACAAAATTACATGTGGGAAATAATGCTTTTTATTCTTGGAAATTCTAGTATCCTACAAGTTGCAATAACCGTCAGAGTTCCCTAATTTTCTAAATGTATTACTACCTAGGTTATAGAAAGTAAATTCTGTCTTAAGTTCTTGGATCAGCCTTAAACTAAAATAAATCAACCCAACTTCTACTTTTGAACTGTTAGGTTGCTGTGGAGTTGTTTTGATAGTCCCAACTTCAATTGGCAGCTATTTTTATTTGCATTTAATTGTACAAGTATTTTATATCAGAAGCTATTGTAAATTTATGTCATGATTGTTTTTTACATTTCAGTCGCCCTTATACAAACAAAGTCATTACTCTGTGGTACCGACCTCCAGAACTTCTGCTGGGAGAGGAGCGTTACACACCAGCCATAGATGTTTGGAGCTGTGGGTAAGGCTCCCTTTACTTTTTCTTTTCTTTGTAACTCACGTATTGTTGAACTTGTATCTTGTTCTCTCTCTACATTGATTTTTGTAGCTTTTTTTTTTTTTTTAGTTTAAAAGGATGGGGATAAACTTTTAGCCAAATTTCAGAGAAATCTGTTGTTGAATATTTCTTAATATCAGAGATGCTTTTTATTTATTTTTATTTATTTTATTTTTTTATATTGCCCTCACTAGTCGTTCATTGGACAGTAGCGCAACCCCAAGAAAAAGATGGTTGGCTCAGAGATATTTCATCAATTGTCTTTTTATTTCTTTTAACTTAGTTTGAATTGGGATCCATATACAATCAAATCAGATTCATAGATTGTAATTGATTATCTCAAGTCTTTTAATTATAGATTCTCCCTCTATATCTTTTTTTTTTTTTTTTAATATATTTTATTGATTTTCTACAGAGAGGAAGGGAGAGAGATAGAGAGTTAGAAACATCGATGAGAGAGAAACATCGATCAGCTGCCTCCTGCACATCTCCTACTGGGGATGTGCCCGCAACCCAGGTACATGCCCTTGACCGGAATCGAACCTGGGACCTTTCAGTCCGCAGGCCGATGCTCTATCCACTGAGCCAAACCGGTTTCGGCCCTCTATCTACCTTGAGTCCCCTTATCTCCTTGACAATTTCCTTAGAAGAAACTGGGTCATTTATTCTATACAGTTTCCCACAGTCTGGATTTTACTGATTGCATTCTTGTGTTGTTGTTTGTTTGTTTTTTACATGGTTCTCTATTTCTCTCATTTTCTGTATATTGTAGTGAATTTAGGTTTGATTTCCAATCACCCACTGACCTTGAAACTACTTTACAGGTGGTTTTGAGTACTTCTGACAGATTATCAAAATGGTACATCAGAGTTGCAGTGGGGGGAGAGGGGGCAGTGAGAGCCTCTGCCCAGAGGACAGGCAATAACTATGTACATTATCTGTAAAAATTTGAAAACAACAAAATAATCCACTACAGATTAGTCTGCCCTTTTTTTAAAAATATTTTTTTTTATTGATTTCAGAGAGGTAGGGAGAGGGAGAGAGAGATAGAAATGTCAATGATGAGAGAGGATCATTGATTGGCTGCCTCCTGCACACCCCCTACTGGGGATTGAGCCTGCAACCTGGGCATGTGCCCTTGACTGGAATTGAACCTGGGACCCTTCAGTCTGCAGGCTTATGCTCTATCCACTTAGCCAAACCAGCTAGGGCTAGTCTGCTTTTTATTATCACCTTATATAGGCAATTCTGGTAAAATATTTATTCCTACTAGGGTAGATTTACACACATATATACACCACTTTACATAACATATAATTTTCTCTTTTTGAAATGTTATCAGCTGTTAATGATCCACATCCATTAATTCATTTGTGGTTGTTTTGTGATGGTGATATTCTAATTATATCATTCCTTTCTGGAATAAATATAACATATCTATTTAGCTAACCTTAGGTACAAATGATATGGAAAAGGTAGGGATAAAGGTTTAATTCTTTTATTTACCATTTTCAAGATAAAGAGGTGGTTTTCTAGCATTCTCTAAAGATAACCAAAGAGAGGGCTTGAGGGGCTTGTTTTTTAGTTTCATTCCGAACTCATGGGATTAAACATATTTGATATGTGTTAATCCATTATAGTTATCATCCTTATTCCTGTTCAAACTGTCCAGTCTTTAGGGAGTTTATTCAGGTTAATTCTTGAGTCTTTTTGATACATTCATAGTAGTCTTTGATAGCCTTCCTTGTTTTCTGGTCCCAGGCTCATCCTATTTATTTATTTATTTATTTATTTATTTATTTTAAATATATTTTATTGATTTTCCACAGAGAGGAAGGGAGAGAGATAGGGATTAAACATATTTGATATGTGTTAATCCATTATAGTTATCATCCTTATTCCTGTTCAAACTGTCCAGTCTTTAGGGAGTTTATTCAGAATCGAACCTGGGACCCCTGAGTCCGCAGGCCGACGCTCTATCCACTGAGCCAAACCGGTTTTGGCGGCTCATCCTATTTATTTCCTTCCCCAGACCTCGTATCAGCCATTTCTCTAAATAGTCTTAGTTCCTTTTCATTGAAAATAATATTTACAGTTTGTTTGTGAGAGGAATAGACATTTTACATGGCCCATGTTCATTAATTGTTTCTTATGCTGTATGACTTATGCATACATTCCACTGTCCTTGACCTGAATGCTTTAGGATTTTGACATACATACTTTCAGTGGACCATAACACTTTTCCCCATTTTTTTCCTTTTATTTCATTCTTTAAAAGGAGCATTGCAAGGGTTTTATTTCAAAATTCAAAAGGGTGAGGGAGAAAGAGAATATAATTTCTGTGGTAGCTTACTCAGATGAAATGAAGCTTTAGTTAAATATACTGATTCAAGCTGGGTATGTCTGTGTTCTGGACTATTTGCTTTAACAGTATTTGCATTTAAATTGTCACAACTAGCCCTTACTGGTTTGGCTCAGTGGGTAGAGCTTCGGCCTGCGGAATGAAGGGTCCCAGGTTCGATTCCGGTCAAGGGCATGTACCTTGGTTGTGGGCACATCCCCAGTAGGGTGTGTGCAGGAGGCAGCTGTTCGATGTTTCTCACTCATTGATGTTTCTAACTCTCTATCCCTCTCCCTTCCTCTCTGTAAAAAACCAATAAAATATATTTTTAAAAAAAATTAATAAATAAATTGTCACAACTAGACTCTAAAGGTAACTTCCCATTCCATTAAGATGCAGGTTGGGGCGGGGGGGGGGGCAGTTCATAGCTCTTTTGGTATTATTATTTTAGTCTCTGCAACCTGCCACGTTAGTGTAGTAGCAAAGTGTTGGATACATAGTGATGTTTTCCCCACCAAAGAACTGGAAACTGAAATTTAAAAAGCCACAAAAACAAAATTTGAAATTAAAATTATAGAAAATTAGACTTTCTTTAAAGCCCAGTGACTCATTGAACTGAGATTTTATTTGACTTTTGTGAGCTTACTACTTTGGTGATCCATGGTAGTCTTCTCTGAAGATACTTTTGTAGAATGCTCTTTTCAGAGACTCGCTAGAGCAGTTCAATTTGAAATTCTGGGGAGAAACTAGAAAGACTAGTACAACAAATTATACCTAGAGTCTGAAAACACAGCTGGGTTTGTTTGTTTGTTTTTTCCTTCAGCCTTTTATTTTATCAGTTGTGACAGCACTGTATTTGGAATTTGATTTGGCAATTAATGTTAGAAACATAATTAAATTTTATTTTACTTTTTTATCTCTTGATAAGGTTCGTAAGAATTTGTCATTTGAGGTTAACAAATACAAATAGAAAGGTACTAATAACTTTAAGAGCTAGGTTTGTTTTGCTTTCTTAAATTTAATCAAGCCAGATAATTTTAAAGTGAAACTATGTAAACATTGGTTTTGTGAGTATTTTTGAATAAATCTCATTTCAACGCACATACTAGAGAAAAGATTCTTTTTTTAAAATATGTTTTTATTGATTCGGAGAGAGGAAGGGAGAGGGAAACATTGATCAGCTGCCTCCTGCATGCACCCTATTGGGAATTGAGCCCGCAACCTGGGCATGTGCCCTGACCTGGAATTGAAACTGCGACCTTTTGATGCATGGGACGTTGCTCAACCAACTGACCCACCTGGCCAGGGCTCCCACTTTTAAAAAAATGAAGTATTTCACACATACAAAAAAATATAAAGTATTTATATAAATTTTTCCATTTGTTTTTAAGTTTATTTTGAAATAATTTCAACTGTACAGAAAAGTTACTAGAACAGTACAAAGAACTTTACTATAGCCTTTGTTTAGATTCGTTAAAATTTTTTCACCTTTTAATTGAAGTGTATAAAACATATTGTATACCAGTGAAACCATCAAAAGTTTATATCACCTCCAAAAATTTCCATGTAATCTCTCTCCTGTCCCCACCATCCCATTCCTAGGCAATCACTGTTCTGCTTTCTATCACTATTATTGATTTCCATTTCTAGAATTTTATACAAATGGAATCATACAATGTATGCTCTTTTTTCCTCTTGCATCTTTTACTCAGCATAATTATATTGAGATTCATTCATATTAGAGTCACTAATTTTTAACATCTTGCCACATTTGCATGTATGATGTATATACATATATATAATATATACATAGAATAAAATGTGTTTATAAATATACTGCATTTTTTTTCAGAACTATTTGAAAATAGTTGTATATATCATGCTCCTTTCCCTCTTAATATTTAATGTACATTTCCTAAGAACAAAGATATTCTCTTAAACCAGAGGCCCAGTGCACGATAATTCGTGCACTCAGGGGGGTGGTCTCTCATCCTGGCCTGTGCCCTCTCACACTCCGGGACCCCTTGGGGGATGTCCACCTGCCGGCTTAGGCCTGCTCCCCGGGGGATCAGGGCCTATTTGGCAGTCAGACATCCCTCTGGCAGCCCAGGAGCCCTCGGGGGATGTCTGAATAACAGCTTAGGCCCGCTCCCCACCATTAGTTGGACTTCCTTAGCGCAGCCACGGAGGCAGGAGAGGCTCCTGCCACCACTGCTGCACTGGCCAGCCATGAGCCAGCTGCTGGCTGAGAGGCACTCCCCTTGTGGAAGTGCACTGACCACCAGGGGGCAGCTCCTGCATTGAGCATCTGCCCCCCGGTGGTCAGTGCACATCATAGCGACTGGTCGTTCCTGGTCGTTCTGCTATTGGGGTCAATTTGCATCTTACCTTTTTATTATATAGCAGTGGTTCTCAACCTTCCTAATGCTGCGACCCTTTAATACAGTTCCTCATGTGGTGGTGACCCCCAACCATAAAATTATTTTCTTTGCTACTTCATAACTGTAATTTTGCTGCTGTTATGAATCGTAATGTAAGTATCTGATATGCAGGATGTATTTTCATTGTTACAAATTGAACATAATTAAAGCATAGTGATTAATCACAAAAACAATATGTAATTATATATGTGTTTTCCGATGGTCTTAGTGACCCCTGTGAAAGGGTCATTCGACCCCCAAAGGGGTCACAACCCAGAGGTTGAGAATCGCTGTTATATAGGATAATCACAGTACAGTTATCAAATTCAGAGAATTTAACATGGTTAGATACACTATATTTAATAGAGTGCTTTAGCTTACATTTCATATCCTCATTTTGTCAACAATGTTCTGGAAACAATACCTTACCTGATAAGAGGATCCAATCCAGTATCCAGTTGCTATTATTTATTCTGGAACAATTCTTTAATATTTCTTTGTCCTTCATGACATTTACATTTTTTAAGAATACAAGACTAGTTACTCAATAGGTTCAGGTTATGAATTTTTGGCTGGAATACTCCATACGTGTTCTTTTCAAGTATCACATTTGTTTGCTTCTTATTAGTGATGTTAATTTTGGTCATTTGGTTAAGGTGTTGTCTGCCTCCCACCACAAAATAGTTATTAGTTTTCATGTTGTAATAAATAATAATTTTTATTATGTTTAATTTTTCTAGTTATTAGTAATAAATAACATTTATTATATATTATATATATTTATTATATAAATAATAAATAAGTAATAAATTTGTGGAGAGATATTTGGAGATTGTAAATATGTCAATCTAGTTTTGAAAGGCTTTTTCAAAATGATAAAGGTATTTAAGCATATTGTATCTAAGAGTCTTATTGAAACTGATCTTGGCTTATGACAATAACCTTTTTTAAAAAAAAAAACACAAATAGTGCTAAGAGGACTATAGTATAGGGCAGCGGTCACCAACCTTTCGGACCTCACAGACCACCAGTGGTCCATGGACCACCGGTTGGCGACCACTGGTATAGGGCACATTCCATAGAACAGATAAATGAACAACGCTAATACATATTCTCTGTATAGGAACTGCTGAGCATCCTTGTAAAATTGAAGTGTGGGGTTTTTAGTCTTATTTTCTTAATTTACAATGGAAGTGTTACAAAGGGACTCTTTTATTTTTTTATTTTTTATTTTTTTTAAGGAAAGGACTCTCGACTCTCTCTGCTAATATATAGGCTGTCCTTTATAGGTGGCAAGGGTTTTTTTTACCTGCTGGTAAATTTAAATCCTTTATACTGTCTAGTTTTAGTGCAAGAAATATTTTTTTTATGCAACTCAGACACTGCAGTTTAGGGCTAATTTACAACCTGGTATATATACCATAAAAGTTTATTGAGACACACTATAAATAGCTTCCAGGGATTTCTCTTCTGACCTCTCAGTTTTACTCTTTCTAGATGCATCCTTGGGGAACTGTTCACAAAGAAGCCTATTTTTCAAGCTAATCTGGAGCTGGCGCAGCTAGAACTGATCAGGTACAGCTGTGCATGTGCTCTGAGTGTCCAGGTGTGATAGGCGATCACATCCTCTAATTCCTAACACTTTTCAGTTATTTTACTAAATGATTTTATGCTCCTTATGTCCAAGTAAGTTTCTCTTCACTCAATCAGGTTTACCATATATTTTGTCATGTGCTCTATATGTAAAGAAGTTGTATTCCACCTACTCTTTAGGTCTTACTTTGCATGTTTTTTATTCTTCATGTAAAAGCATGCCATTTTTAGGATAGTTATTTCATTCTTAGGTTAATTAAGATCAAATTTATTTAGCACACATTTTATTGAATCTGTTTTGTAATAATTTCCTTTCTCTGTTAAACTTTAGGATTCAGAGATAAATAAGATAGGTCCCTGCCTTCAAAAAGCTCAGAGTTTAATAAGTGATAAAACATGTAAACAGATAATTATAAAATAGAACCTGTAATAGAGGGTTTCAGGAAGACCTGGGATTGGGATAGAATTTGGATTGTTTTATTCAATAAAATTAAAGGAAAGAATATAGCAGGCTAATGTAAACTTTTTAAAAGGTGGTATATAACTTATTATTTGTTATGAAGTAAACTCAATTTTCCATTAAAATTTTCAGTCTTGGGCTCTCTTCTGCCAGTTTTTCTTATATGGACATTTTAGGACCAGCTCAGCCCTTTGTAATTAACACTAACTGAACTGAACAGAATTGGTACTGAAAACCTCTGTGGAGGATTAAAAACATGTTTATGAAACCAAATATGTTGTGGTTTATTTTAGGTAGTTGTGCCAGTATTTTCTCTTCATTATCTTGTAACCAATTCTTTCTGTCCTATTCCTTTTGTCCTTAAAGCAGTGAGGCCAGGTTTTTCTTTCTGCATGCCCTCTAATTTAATAAGCTCTTGGGAGGTAATCGTTTCTGCTTCTAGAATCTCCAGAATTCATGATGCTGACGCACTTACTTCCTTGTTCTTGCTTTCTGCTTTGTTTTCAGTCGACTCTGTGGTAGCCCTTGTCCAGCTGTGTGGCCTGATGTTATCAAGCTGCCTTACTTCAATACCATGAAACCGAAGAAGCAATATAGAAGGCGTCTACGAGAAGAATTCTCTTTGTGAGTTTGGCAAAAATGTGCATCTGTTTTCTATGTTTGATTGGTGTTTGGTTTGGACTTGGCTTTTTCCTGGCCTAGGGAGTTAGTGTTGTCCCAATTTATTATGGCAACACATCATAGGAAAGCATTTTATTTTTAACGAAGTTCTGTCACAGCCTTTTGGTAATTTTCTCTTTTGAAGGCTTTTCAGCGGTTCTCAACCTGTGGGTTGTGATGCCTTTGGGGGTCGAACGACCCTTTCACAGGGGTCGTCTAAGACCTTCGGAAAACACATATATTACATACTGTTTTTGTGATTAATCACTATGCTTTAATTAGGTTCAATTTGTAACAATGAAATTGGGGATCACCACAACATGAGGAACTGTATTAAAGGGTAAAGTTGAGAACCACTGCTTTAGATGATAGAAAACCATTTTATTTTGAACATTATATATATTTTTTCAGTCTTTTTTATCTTACCAAGACAAAAAGAGAATGTAATTGCTGGTTTCATGTTTTCTAACCTGTTATAGCACTTAAATCCTGTGTGGAGCCCTAGCCGGTTTGGCTCAGTGGATAAAGCATCGACCTGCGGACTGAAGGGTCCCAGGTTCCATTGCAGTCAAGGGCACATGCTTGATCCCCATTGTAGGGCATGTAGAAGGCAGCTAATCAATGATTCTCTCTCATCATTGATGTTTCATTGATGTTTCTATCTCTCTCTCCCTCTCCCTTCCTCTCTCTCCTCCCTTCCTCTCTGAAATCAATAAAAATATGTTAAAAAAAAATCCTTTGTGGAAGAAAACCTGATTGCTTGTCTAGCCACCTTCCAACTCCCTTTCCACAGTTTTATGTGAAACTGGAAATTCAGAGCCTTTGACACAAGGTTACAGGTTCAAGAATTATGTGGTTGTTGTGAACTTGTCCTTTCTCTCTTCCTTCCCACAGCATTCCTTCAGCAGCACTTGATTTACTGGACCACATGCTGACACTAGATCCTAGCAGACGTTGCACAGCTGAGCAGACCCTACAGAGTGACTTCCTTAAAGATGTCGACCCCAGCAAAATGGATCCTCCAGAGTAAGTGCTGATGGATCCTCCATGTAGTGACCTTAAACCTCCTTCTCAAGCCTAGGAGATGAGAAACTCAAAGTAATAGACATTTAAGAGGAACTGCAAATGGTCCTATGCCAAATGGAGCGGTATCCTCAAATAGGGTTATGACTGGTAAGAGCTTTTATTGCTCTATGTTGTGTGTTTTTTAAAAAACAAGGCATAGATTTAGATATGATATTTGTTCTAATTTGACTCAAGCTATCTTGTGTTCCTGGATCCCAGCATATTTTCATATAGAGCCTCTTTGAACATATTTCTTCTAGTTTTTGCTATTAACTATTCCATCTGCTTGAATCCCCTATGTCTATGGTGACCATGTATATTCCACACTTACAAGGACAGTGCTAATTTTAAGTTTGTATCACTGTCAGGTCAGATGTCCTGAGTTTAGAAAATGCAGTCTTTGAAGGTGTCTCTCTTTCATTAGACTTTTATGAATTTCCTTATTCTCCAAGATCCTCAGAGTTCTACAGTCACATCTCACATTCTGGCAAATAAGTCTCTTCACATTTATCACTGACAGCATTTTCGGACATTTCTTCTTTACAGAAAGACTACCTTAAAGAAATGAATGGAATGTTAGTACATGAGTAGGTACTAACTACAAATCTGATTGTTCCAAAGAAATTTACTGCACTAAAATTTTGATACATAAATATTGATTGAAATACATAAAGCATTTTACTGAAATTTGGGGACTCTTGCCATAGAGAGATTTTTGGTTATGGTAATCCTTATTGTAGTAAGATTTGACCTACTAGGACTGTTTGCATTATCATGGGAAAGTCTGAAAATATATTAAAATATTTTAATAAACCCTATAAATGAAAATATCCAGTAAAGGAAATTCAGTGGGCAGAAAGAAGAAGTTTTGTTTTGTTTTTATCTTCACAGACCAAGTAACACATAAATTGATTTTACACAGAGGGGATTTCATCATGATATGCTTATGTTATTCCAAAATTTAAATCACCACTTTGCCTGGACTCTTTGTAGCTATTAACAAGCCAATCATCTCCGTGCTATTTATTCCCAACTGAAACTTGACCAATAAAGTTCTCTTTTATTCTTGTTATATCAAGCAAGAACTATAAGACTTAACTACTTGGCAGGAGTATGAGCATTTTTATAGCAGGTGTTGTCTCTGATATTAGCAAAATCCTCATTCTCACTGTAGAAGTCTTTTAGGCTTTTGGACTTCTACTTCCTCAGACTATTATATGCCATGATTCCTTTTACACTATTACTATTTATTTACTAACTTCTCTGGCTATTTTTATGGTTTCCTTATTCTTTCCATTTCCCACTGCTCTTTGCCTTCCCATTTTAATCCCTCTTTCTTCGGTTTACTCACTGCCACATTCCCACACACATTTCCCCTTTGCTTTGTCTTTTTTCAGCCTCCCCCACTGGCAGGATTGTCATGAATTATGGAGTAAGAAACGGCGACGGCAGCGACAAAGTGGTGTTGTGGTAGAAGAGCCACCTCCATCCAAAGCCTCTCGAAAAGAAACTACCTCAGGGACAGGTGCTGAGCCTGTGAAGAACAACAGCCCAGCACCACCACAGCCTGCTCCTGTCAAGGTGGAGCCTGTGGCTGGGGATACAATAGGTCAGTGCTGGGATAGAGACTTTGTGCTTCTTTTAAGCACATTTTGGCAGGTTTTAAAGGTTAAATGCAAGGATGTGTGTGTGTTTTAATTTTTAGTCAGTGAAGCATTAATAAAGAGGTTGGTGGTCTGATTATAGGGAAAAGGAGATAAACCAAGTTTTGTACCCGTGGTCTAGAACTACAATAGATGTATTTTCTATTCCTGAAGTAAGGAATACTATATCTCAGTTAGATGTAGGGTATAAATCAGTGAATTAGGTGAGCCAAATTTAATTTAAGGTTAGTTCACCATGGATCTCTAAAACATAATTTGAAGCCCTGTATATTTTGGTTTGATAATACCTTAGAAACCAATGATGTTAAGTCACAATTGCTAAATGTAGTTAGTTCTGTAGACTGTTATCTGATTTAAATATATATAAAATTGTATAATAATGAACTATTATAACAAAGTAGTTCTTCTGCGGGAACAATAATTTTTCTGAACTATAGATATTTTTTCCTTGGCTCACTTTCCCTTCCCTGTCCACCTACAACAGTAATTTTCAATGCTGACTACACATTAGAATCATCCAGGAAGCTTTAAAAATAAACACCCCTGAATAATTGCCAGATTTCTAGGGATAAATAAAGGTTAAATGAAATAACTTTAAAAAAAATATATATATATATATATATATATATATATATATATATATAATATATATTTTTAATGGATTTTTTTAACAGAGGAAGGAAGGGGAGGAGGGATAGAGGAGTTTAGAAAACATTGATGAGAGAGAAACATCAATCAGCTGCCTCCTGCACACCCCCCACTGGGGATGTGCCCGCAACCAAGGTACATGCCCTTGACAGGAATCGAACCTTGGACCCTTCAGTCTGCAGGCTGACGCTCTATCCACTGAGCCAAACCAGTTAGGGCTAAATGAAATAACTTTTACTTACAATACAGAGATATTTGAGTTAGTCCATGAATTTTTACTTATTTTTAGAACTTTAAAAAAAAATGCTTTTATTGATTTTTAGAGAGAGAGGAAGGGAGAGATAGAAACATTGATCGGCTGCCTCCTGCACGCCTTCTACTGGGGATTGAGTCTGCAACCCGGGCATGTGCCCTTACTGGGAATCGAACTAGTGACCTCTTGGTGCATGGGACGCTCAACCAACTGATCCACACCAGCCGGGCGAGTCCATGCATTTTTAAGCAATAATATAAAGAAGAACAAAATGTGGCCCTGGCTGGGTAGCTCAGTTGGAGTATCATCCCAAGGTTGTGGGTTCCATTCCTAGATGGAGCACATGCAACCAATGAGTGCATAGATGGGTAGAGTAGCAGATCCATGTTTCTCTCTCCCTCTCTCCCCTCCTCCTCTTCCTCCTATTCCCTCTCTCTAAAGTCAGTAAATTAAAATAAAAGAATAGCAAATTGTGTCATGACGATTTGAGGCATGAAAAATGAGACATTTTTAATGAAATTTCATTCACTGGATATTATAAGTTGCTATTGCCAATTGAAGAATGCAGAGGTCTTTGCCCTGCCTCATCCTCTTATATTGTCTTCACTCTCTCTCCACAGGCCTTGGTGACATCACACAACAATTGAATCAAAGTGAATTGGCAGTATTATTAAATCTGCTGCAGAGCCAAACTGACCTGAGCATCCCTCAAATGGTACAGCTGCTTAACATCCACTCCAACCCTGAGATACAGCAGCAGCTGGAGGCCCTGAACCAATCTATCAGTGCCCTAACAGAAGCCACTTCCCAGCAGCAGGACTCAGAGCCCATGGCCCCAGAGGAATCTGTGAAGGAGGCACCCCCAGCTTCAGTGGTCCAGCCTTCAGCAGAACAGAAGACCCCTGAAGCTTCAAGCACACCAGCTGACATGCAGAATATGTTGGCAGTTATCTTGAGTCAGCTGATGAAAACCCAGGAGCCAGCAGGCAACCTGGAGGAAAACAACAGTGACAAGAACAGTGGGCTACAGGGGCCCCGAAGAACTCCCACAATGCCACAGGAGGAGGCAGCAGGTAAACAGACCGGTCATGAATCTCATTGAGCTCAGGTGCTGTTGATCCTCTTAAAAATCTCTTTAACATTTTCTTTTTCACATCAATGGCATCGGTTTCAGTTTTTCTGTAACCTAGTCTACAGGAGAACATACCAACAAGTGATGTATTTCTTGTCTGGCTTCTTTTATTTAAATCTCAAAGCTTTTCAAAGCACCTTTTCATATACTGATTATTTTTCCATTTCTTAGGAGGTAGGTAAGTAAAGCCCCTGTGTTCTAACCCACAGAAACCACAACCATAGCTAGTGATGTATTTGAACTACTGTGTATATGGTGGCCAACTAACTCTTGAAAATCTGCCTTCCAAACAAACCATCAGATTGTGCAAATAGGCAGTGATACTCTAGTGTAGTGGATGCTGGATACCAGAGTCTTGCTTGGAAGATTTATTCAAGAAAACCCTAATAAAACGTCATTGTTATCTCATGAAGAATAATTTGGGAATATTTCTAAATAGATAACACCATACATTTATTTTTTGGGATATTTCTAAATAGATAACACCATACATTTATTTTTCAAAAATTAATAGCATATAAAAGTGATTCCTTTAAAATATGTGTTTTTGAAAGAGACAATTGAATGGATTTTAGCTTAGGAAATGATCATTATATAAAGGAAAAAAAAACTTACAAAAGGAAATACGTTTGTTATACCTTGATCTCACATGACCACAGCATGCACTTTATTAGAAGGAAAAGAAGTTCTGATCAATTCTGATTCAGTCTGTTTGCAAAATCTTTATTTATCTAAAAGTGTTTTCAACTCCTTGGAAATTTTTGCTGTCCATGAAGAGCCCATGAATTGGGGAATGAGAAGAGGTACAAGGGTTGAAGAAATTCACTAACCTTCAACTTCAGGGTCCTGCATTCACATTTCATATGGGATGGTGCAGAAAGTATATGCCTTATTTCCACTGGTATAGAGTCAAATATAGAAGCTACTTTTCATATGTAAAGCTTTTTAAAACTGGAAGATAACATAAATAAAATTAGCCCTTATATTTTACAGATAGGGAAACTGCAATCCAGCAAATTTAAATTAGCCTGCTTATTTAAAAAAAAAAAAGCCTGTTGATGGTCCCACTGCTGGAACCATATTATTGGCAGAGCCAGAATTTAGAACTTGTGTACCCTTTTAATGTGTTTCTTAATTCACTTTGCTATTCTGTCATCTGATTTCAGTTGACTCCAGGACATGGAATAACAGAGAAAGCTAATCTAGAATTAAAGGAGGCCTCTTTGTATCATCTCTCATACCCCCGCAAAAAAAGAAAAAAAAAGAAAAAGAAAAAATAGCTATAATCAAAATACCTGAAAGAAATGGTTCAAATTAAATAGCATAATGATTGAAAGAAATTCACTCAATAATTGAGCCAACAAGCTATCAGCTAAATGATGAAATTGAACCAAAATTAAGGCCTAGCCTATGGTAAAAAATTGTTGAATTTACTTTTCAGAGGAGAATAAAAATGGCACTCCTAATTATTAGTCACCCCTGGATTAACCAGCTGGTGTCTCCTGTGTCTCTCCTGTTGTTCCTCCCCTGCTGCCTCTTGCGGCCATTTTACTGTTCATTAGTTCTTCCACCAGAGGGCAGACTAAATAAGCTGCAGAAGGTGAAAATCTATCACTTTGGCTACTGTTTGGCGTCTCTATACTTGTTGGGAAAGGGTTATGGTTGAAAACTGATGAGTCAAATAAAGTTTTAAAGTTATTTGTACCTTTCATTAACACCTCCTTCCATTAGTACAGACTGTTAAAGATTGGCAATATTGTTAACACTAAATTTTACAACAGTATGATATTTTAAATGTGATCTTTATTTTTAATTCCTTTAAGAAGTTTTATTAGTCCTGGGTGGGTGGCTTAGTTGGTTGGAGGTCATCCTGTACACAAAAAGTCGTGGGTTCGATTCCTGGTCAGGGCACGCGCCTAGGTTACAGGTTCATATGGGAGGCAACCAATCGATATTTCTCTTCTCTCTCTCTCTCTCTCTCTCTCTCTCTCTCTCTCTCTCTCCCTTCTTCTCTCTCTTAAGTCAATGAAAGCGAGGATTAAAAACAAAATTTTATTAACCTTACTTTAATAGTTTTTTACAATCAATCTGCTTTTGCTACTTTGAAATAGTTTTCATCCTCATACATGTAAAAAATTTGAGCTCAAAATATGACTTTATATTATTGAAACAACGAGGCTAATTACATAAAAGACAAACTTCAAATGTGAATAGTAGTATATCTGGAAAAGTTTAAGTTTAGTTTTGCTCACTTTTGCAGTTGGGTATCTTTAAAGTCATTTTCTCTCAGCATTAAAAATAAACACATACACACACACACACACAAAAAAAAAAAAACCCACCACCAACAACCTGGTGTCTGTTTCATGTATTGTCCAAAAAATACTTTAAAAACTAATCAGTACTGTGATGTTTTTATGTAGTGAGATATGTAGCGTTGGCAGCAAAAATCTCTGAAGTCTCTAGATGTTTGTATGTAGTTCAGTTAGCTCTCCTTTTTTAGGATGTCTGCTTTTCAGGTTGTGAATTTTCCATAGCTAATTTTTTTGTCCTTAAATTCATTTTTCCTACCACCTAGTCAACCAGCCAGTGTGTCAACAAGTTACTTGAGCAGGTACTGTATATAGGGTGACCAGCTTGTCTCTGTGCAATCCTGATTTTAAAAGTGAAAGTTGGCAATTTGGGAACCCTCTCAGTCCTCGGTAAATTGGGACTGTTGGTCGCCCTTATTTGTATGTTACATAGAGCATCTGACCTCATCCTTCCACTGCATAACTTCACAATTTTGTAGTGTTTTCATCTGCATGCTCATATTTACTTTTTTATCTTTGCAAAATATAATTGTGGTAAATATGCTACCAAAATATCTAATTATAACTAAAAACTACTTTTTCCTTGTCTGAGGAATGACTTTATATTACTAGCTCAGATAATAAGAATTGACTATATGTATATTTCAAAATATAGGGAACGGAAAATCAATCATTTGGAAGATATCCCAAAACATTACGCCTTTTTTTCAGCAGTGTAACTTCCAACTCTCTAAATGTACTGTTTTGACTGTACTTGGTTTTTTTATGTTCTCAAACTCATGCCATTTTATATCTCTACCCTGCTGTCTTGGCAGGAGTTCATTTTCAGACAGTGATTGGCATGCTTGGGCAAATTTAGCCAGCAGTGGGGGGAAAAGTCTGGGGAGTTTAGAAAGACAAAGATCTTTGGAAAGACAGAGTATAATATTAGTTTAATACATTTCTAAATACTCAGTTCTTGTCACTGTCTCCAAGATAAACAGATGTTTATCAACAGCCCATTCTGCATGACATTGCTATAGTAATTTTTCTTATAGCATGGAAAAAATGCAGGAGGTTGGGAAACAAAAAAGAAAGTTATTATAGATTACTTTAGTCTTTATAATTACTATAACATAGGAAGCTGAATGACAGTATGGTGGTTAATATTCCATTCTTCAAAATGTGGTTATGGGGAGAGGGACTGAAGTTTGGAGAATCAAGTGTATATTTATACATGATGATAATGAAAGGTTTTTTACTTTATTTCATCTCTCTTGTATGTTCCTTAAGTTCTATTTCAGGTGTTAACATTATTATTAAGCATTCTGTAAAATGTGTTAGCTAAGTCCATGCAAGGTCTCCATTGTACAGCAAATATTATGTCTTAGAAATGTGACCACAGCATGTATATTGTTCCCTCTCATCTTCCTTCTTTCTACTTTATTTTCATTAATGTTTTGATTCAACAGCAAAAAGGGGCAGGAAGGCTGCCAACAGCCTACATTATTAGAACAGTTCCTTAAAGAAGGAAATGGAGGAAATCTCAGACAAAAATCAGAAAAATATTTGAAACATATGATCTTTTTACAACAGCTGTTAGATCCAGAATGCAACTGTTTTGCTTTTAATCACTTGATTTTATTTATAAATTGAAATTTCCTGATCCCAAGATTTTATTCTTTATATATATTTGGTTACTTGTATTGATATATGTTTATGTTGGGTAGTATTTGTGTGTGTGTGAGTGTGTGTATGTATGTATGTGTTTATAATCACATGTGATTTTTAAGATGGTGTTAAAAGAAGTAACCCTTCCACAGCATGTCCTCCTCACATTCTTCCACCAGAGAAGAGGCCCCCTGAGCCCCCTGGACCTCCACCGCCGCCACCTCCACCCCCTCTGGTTGAAGGCGATCTTTCCAGCGTCCCCCAGGAGTTGAACCCAGCCGTGACAGCCGCCTTGCTGCAACTTTTATCCCAGCCTGAAGCAGAGCCTCCTGGCCACCTGCCACATGAGCACCAGGCCTTGAGACCAATGGAATACTCTACCCGACCCCATCCCAACAGGACTTACGGAAACACTGATGGGCCTGAAACAGGGTTCAGTGCCACTGACACTGATGAACGCAACTCTGGTCCAGCCTTGACAGAATCCTTGGCCCAGACCCTGGTGAAGAACAGGACCTTCTCAGGCTCTGTGAGCCACCTTGGGGAGTCCAGCAGTTACCAGGGTACAGGGTCAGTGCAGTTTCCAGGGGACCAGGACCTCCGTTTTGCCAGGGTCCCCTTAGCATTACACTCAGTGGTCGGGCAACCATTCCTGAAGGCCGAGGGAAGCAGCAACTCTGTGGCACATGCAGAGACCAAATTGCAAAACTTTGGGGAGCTGGGGCCAGGAACCAGTGGAGCCAGCAGCTCAGGAGCAGGCCTTAACTGGGGGGGCCCAGCTCAGTCTTCTGCTTATGGAAAACTCTATCGGGGGCCTACAAGAGTCCCGCCAAGAGGGGGAAGAGGGAGAGGAGTTCCTTACTAACCCAGAGACTTGAGTGTCCGAAAGAGTCCTTCCCTGTCCATCCTCCATCCAGTCCTCTGAACCTTTAATGAAATCATTTGCCAGAGCGAGGTAATCTTCTGCATTTGGCTATTTCAAAGCTAATTCATTGTATTCCTTGCTCACTTGCTACTAAGCACGAGACATAAAATAATGATGTTGGCAGCATTTCCCCCTGGATGGGTTGGTTATAGTCAGAACATTTACTTCAGCTCTACCTAGTAAATATAAGTAGAGAATTTGGAGAGGGTCATTAAATGGAAAAGTAAATGCTTTATTAGTTCATTGCCCGCACATCTTGAGCAGAAGAAAAAGAGAACAGTTTCAGTTTTTGAAATGGCCCAGGAAGAGGCTCTTTAGGTTTTTAAAGTTTGAGGATTATTTTTCTATGTTTTGTTCTTTTGAATTTAGTTTTTTGGATTTTTTTCTTTTGTTTTTTAAAGAAAGAATAGTGTTCACAAAATTTGAGCTGCTCTTAGGCTTTTGCTGTTCGGGGCAAAGAGTGACTGACTGATTTAAATAAATGTTTCCTTCCTCTCCACCACCTCACATTTTGCTTTCAAGTAAACTCTTCTTTTTCCCCCATTGAGCATCTTTAACATTCCTTTTTTCCAAATAAATTACTCATCCTTAAGGTTTGCTCTGTTTTGGCAAAAGACATGACCCCTCTTCCTGTATAAGAAGCAGGTTGTAGAAAGTGGCATTCTTGGGCAAGTAGATAGACTTTATCCCATCTTTTTCCTTTTTTACCCCATCTTCATAGAGGTTTTCTTTGTCTCTTTTTGAGGCATTTGTTTGGAAAAAAATTAATCGTTGAGATGCCCAAGAACCTGGGATAATTCTTTACCTTTTTTGAAATAAAGGAAAGGAAATTCAAACTCCTTTTTTCTCTGTAACTCTTCAATTCTAAAATGTTATTTGTTTTTTTTAAAACCATGTTCTGATGGTGAAGTTGATTTATAAATGCAGACAGCCTAGGCCATTGCTGCTGAGTTGGGACTAGAGATGATGCCTTCAGACCTAGAGGACTAGAAAGAGCAGTTAGCATACTGTTTACACATATATTTTTATGTAAAAAAAAAACAAAACCCAAACCTTTGAAACAGAGCATTTTAATATTGTCAAAGAGAAAATAAATATCCTGAAAATACATGGAAATGTAATTAGGGTAGATATTTTTCTGAAGATATTTCAATACCTAAGTTTTAAAAAATACTTTTGAAAGAGCAGAACATAAGAAAGAACAGTATTGACATATACACATCTCTGCATGTATATCCTGCCAATTCTTTCTTTTAGGGATTTTCCTCTGGAGAGAGAGGGTTTTGGTAAAAGGGATTAAATTATGACTTCATGGCAAGTATTTTTCCTTACTATAAAGAGGAAATGGAAAAGGGAAAGGCTTTCAGGGTGGGATAACGGGAGGCTTCTCATTCTGGCTTTTGTTTCTATGTGAGTACCAGCATATAATGTGTTTTAAGAACATACACATTTATATAAATTATCTGCACAGACTTAGACATTTGTGAAAAGTAGGTTAGCTCCTTTTTTTACAAAGAAAAGGCAAATGTGCTTCAGCATCTTGAAGAATAGTTTTCAGAACTCAAGTGAAGTTTCATGTTTCAATGCCAAGTTCTTATATTAAAAAATTAAAAGACTACTTGTAAGAGAAAGATGCACTAATAAAAAACTTTAGAGAAATGAAAGAAGAACCCTCTTCAGATACTTACATGAAGATTATTTTTCCCTGTCACCGAAATAGGTAGATTCCTGGTGTGTGTATTTCTTTATTCTTTGGGTTTTGGTCTGGCCTTGCCCTCAGGGCCAAACATTGATGAGAAAGAACCTATTAGCCATTTTGGCTTTGATGGCTTTTTATACCAATATGTCCAATTAGATTTGCTAGGTTCACTGACATGGTATTGGTATGTTGCATTAAAGTTCATCTAAACTTTTTTTTTTCTTCAAGATTTTGTATTGATGTTTAGAGAGGAAGGGAGAAGGAGAAAGAGAAACATCAATTGGCTGCCTCTTTCACGACCCCCAACTGGGGATCGAGTCCACAACCTGGGCATGTGCCCTGACTGGGAATCGAAGTGGCAACCTTTTGGTGCACAGGACAATGCCCAACCAACTGAGCCACACCGGCCATGGAATCTGAATCTTTTGTCTGTTGACTTCTTAGTCCTCAAACATGGACCTTTGTATTTTAGAATATTTGAATTTGAGGCATTGAGCCACACTTTCCCAGTTTTGATTAAAGAACTCAGAAGTACATATTCAGTGGAAAAAAAAATTGGTTTCCCATCAAATATGAATAAAATTTTCTATACATTTTATATTTTGATTATCAACAGTCATCAATAATACTTCTTTCTTCCCCTTATCACCCCTTATTTTTAATTATGCCAAATATTCTAAATGATATGCTTATGTCTCCATCATTCCCTGCTACTAGGGAAGGGGGTGAGTGTATGTGTGTGTGTATGTGTATGATCCCATCTCAACCCCAGACCCCCATTTTGGGAGTTTAATCTTTAAAATGGAAAAAAAAAAAGTTTGGTAATTTTGACTATTTCTAAAAGCAGAGGAAGAAAGGAACTCACTTAAATATCCTGGAATCTGTGGAGGAAGAAAAGGTATTTGTTAATTTTTCAGCTGTGTGATCTATAAACATAATGGAAGTAAAGGTTTGGCAGAATTTCAGCTTGACTATTAGAAAACTATAAATTTAAATAATTATATTCAAAAGTGGTTTTAAGTATTGTACCATGGGAGGTATTAAGTCCATTAAATACATTATTTTGAACAGATGAGAAATCTGATTCTGTTCATGAATGAGGCAAAACTGGTTTGACCGTAGTTATTTTTGTGGTTTTGAAAACAAATTTGCTTGATCCAGTTTCCTTAGTTTTTTCAACTTTCTATAGGAATGATAAGGATTTGAAAATGACATCAGATCTATATGTTTAAAAGCAAGGCAGTTAGCACAAATTTGTAAGTAGGACTTCTGTTAGCTTATGCCATAGACATCATCCAACCACTTGTGTGTGTGTGTGTGTGTGTGTGTGTGTATATATATATGTATATACATGTGTGTGTGTGTATATATATATACATATATATATATATATAATATGCATATATAGTTACAGTACTAAAATGGTTACTAGCAGGTTTTGAGAGAGAGTGCTATATCAGAAAAGTGTCAGTTGCCACCTCATTCTCCCTGATTTAGGTTCCTGACACTGTATTCCTTTCTCTCTTGTTTTTGCCCCCCATCGGGTATACCTTGTCTGTGTACAGATATTTTGTAATATATTAATTTTTTTCTTTGAGTTTATAAAAATGGAAAGTGGAGATTGGAAAATTAAATATTTCCTGTTACTATATCACTTGCTCCATTGCATTTACTTCTTAATCTGTTACCTCTGAGCAAACCCAATTAGGTATGAAAGGCATTTTTCCCCCTCCACTTTATCGTAGGGGTTCTTTGTCGCAGAATCACTGCAGATTCATAAACTACCAAAATAAAAGTCCTCACGGTTTAAAGAGGTGTTTCAAAACACAAGACTAGGAACAAGAAAATTTTAAAAGTTGGGGAAAACTGTAAGATGTCATTTTTTAAAAAGTAGAAAACAGTTACACAAATAATGGCAGTCCTAGGCTATCAAAAACGTTGAGCTTCATGTACCCTGACTCCTCCTGAAGGGAGAGGTAAGTGGGTTTGAGCTCAACTGTCATCCAGGGAAGTTGGTAAGAGGGTGTTTCGATTGAAGAATAGTCTCTTAAACCAGGATCACCACCACCACCTCTGACCAGTCCTATGTTACCATGAGTAAGGTCAGCATGGGAATTAGTCTTCTAGCACTGTTGAGATTTCTGGATACATTGCCAATCCAGAAAGTTATTTGTAAGGCTAAAATTCCTGTCGTCTCCAAAATCTTTACTGAGGAGATAATTGCTCTCCCTGAATTTATAAAATTCAGGAGATAATTGCTCTCCCTTCTCTTTCATGGTTTAGGACACAGAACTAATTTTTTTCTTGTAGTATGTGTTGCATTCCTGCTAGTTGTGGTACAAGTAGGCAGAGAGCAGATAAAACCCATCAAGAGACAGAAAGGAAGAGGGGAGATATAGGTATCAGGAAATTATGAATGGGGTTAGCAATTATACAAAATTACGGGGTACACCAGAAATTAGGAAGAAATTGAATTTTCAAAAACTGGTGGTAATGAGGGTTGTCAGCTTGCTTTTGAATCCCCAAAGTCTAAGTATGTTCCCTTACCTGTGTGCTGTCCCATGTTTATCCAGAAGGAGAATGGAGAGCTCAAGGTTGTTCCAATTCCTGGAATCCTGTGTTCCTGGTTACGCTCCAAAGAAAAAGAATTCTTTTTTCAGTCTTTATATGTTTCAAATTCATGACTAGGAGTGTGAACTTCAACTTAGAATATACTCTAATAGAGTATATTGTTTCCACTCATAGCAATGGCTACCTTTTCAATTTTGGGCCTAAAGGCTGAGAACCTACTAGTAACTGGACTTTTTTTATTCCTATCACATCCAAGGCTGTTTCTAACTAGAAACCATACAGTTCAGTACCTAAATTTGTTCGGCACTATCTTTTCCCAGACAGGCATCCTTAA